AATCTAATTAGTCCTTCAGTTAGGTAATGAAAAAATATTAGACACGTATTTTTTTATTTTGTCGTATAATAAAATTATACTTTGATATAACAAATCAAAGTTCAGGAGTAGGGTCTATAACGTCATTTCTACGTATAAAATGTACATAGAAGTGACGTCACGCGACATTTCAAATTAATATATCGTCGAAAGTATTCGTTTCTGTAAGAAAATAAAAAATACGTGACTAATGATTTAAAATAATCTACTAGACGGACATTAAAATAAAAATTTGTCATCTGCCCTATTGTAATTACTAGGTAGTTAAAATCAAAGTCAAATACAAACATGTCTGATCTGAACTTATATAACTAGTTGGTTAGTTGGTAAAATAACGTCTTACCCTAATAAAAACTGTTTTTATAATAACTATCGTGAGACATACTCAATTAACACAATATCGCGGGTTATTCACGTGAATGTACTGAGAAAAGCTCTACTAGTTTCGAACCACAGAGGGGTTCTGCCTCATGAGCAGCGTGCGCGGTCGCGGCAATGTAGCGCAGCCTACTCTCTATACTTGGTAGAGCTTTGAATAATTCTGAGTATAAGCCTACTACGTAGTAGAGCTTTTCTCAGTATATTCACGCGAGTAACCCGCGATTTTTAGTTAATTTAATAAAAACTGATTAATTTCATACCACTTTTAATTTTTTACCCTGTATGACTAACCTGAAAAATCTCGCCGTGTGTCGATGTGGATCATAGGGTCCAAGTTGTATCCTAGCTTGTAGTCCTCCCAGCATGACTGCTTGAGCACTCTCAAGAGGATACCTTCCGGTAACGACGTTATGACGAGCTTCTTCGTACAACAGCTCTTGAATACGTGAGTCCCTGGAACACAAGTAAGATAGTTTCAATACGTAACATTACACCTTTTATCCCCGAAGGGGTAGTAGAGGTGCACATTACGGCACTTAATGCCACTGTACAATGTAACTATTTATATTACGAGTCCCATATAATAGGGGGTGAGCCTATTGCCATATACCGGGCACAATTCCAAATTCCGCGCTACCACTGATTTTTTTTTAAAACCTCAGTAATACTTTGGCCAACCCAGGAATAAAACCCAAAACTCCTTGCCCGGCAGTCGCACTTTTTTTTTTAAGGGGGGAAAATCATCGAATGACTGCTCCCGCCTGGGTGAGGCGGGAGGGAGTGTCAGAGTCTTACTGACTAAAAACCACCCCGTTCCTTCTCTTGCACGTCGAGCCGGAGCCCCGGTTACCCGTTAGGTTCTCCGCGACGGCAGTCGCACTTGCGACCACTCGGCCAACGAGGCAGTTTCTCTTTTACTTTCAGTACTTTTAAATTTGTAATTTAAAAAGCATGCAAACAGGCGAATTTCGGTCATACTTTGAATGTTCCACTTTTTATCGTTCTGTATCTGTGTTTATTGAAATGGCTGGGTAAAGCGTTACTGCGTAATCTCCAATTTTTTTAATCTTATACTATTGTTTTAATCTGAAGAATTTGTTTTTTTGTTTGTTTGTTTGAACGCGCTAATCTCCGCAACTACGAGTTTGATTTGAATAATTCTTTTTGTGTTGGATAGCGCATTTACCGAGGATGGCTATAGGCTACGACCAATAGGAGCTGGGCAGAGCGTATGAAACCGCGCAGAAGTAACTAGTTATAGAATATATTATATTCACAATAAACTTACTTAATTCCTTCTTCTAAATGTTTGGGAAAGAACACGTTCCTCTGTAGTCGTAACACGGGCTGGTCACGATTGAGTCTCGACTCCGAAGCGTGACCGTAACGATGTACCAACTTCTGCCAGTTTGCCCAGAACCTCCACGGGCAATGATGAGGTTTTAACTGAATTTCTGGAATAGGTAGTACGTATTTCGTATTAAGGGACAGTTTGAAGAATCCAACTACGATTAAAGAGAAGTGGAAGAAAATCATTGAGGGCAGGAAACCCAAAAGTTGTGTTAAGTGTGGGAGAGCCATGCTTCGGCACGAATGGGCCGGCTCGACCGGAGTGATACCACGGCCTCACAGAAAACCGACGTGAAGCAACGCTTGCGTTGTGTTTCGTCTTGTGAGTGAGGTTACCAGAGGCCCAATTACCCTCCCCTTCCCCAATCTCCCCAATTCCTGAATCCCCAACAATCCTCAATCTCCTAATCCCCAAAAGGCCGGTAACGCACTTGTAACGCCTCTAGTGTTCCAGGTGTCCATGGGCGACGCCGATTGCTTACCATCAAGTGATCCGTCGGCTCGTTTACGGGCTTACGCCATTAAAAAAAAAGGCTGAAGAGTTAGAAGGCAAAGACTTTCTTATTTTAGATTTACTGGAAAACTTCTTGGGGGACAATGTGGTGTCCAATAAGAATTTTATCCTTATGTTATAGGTAAGCAAAGGATGATAACTTCATATTTATTCGGCAGCTATAGATCAGCAGATGCTTGCACTTACCTAACAAAGGACTGCACATCCACAAAGCAAAAACGTTAGCAGCTAAACTTCTAGTGCTCGGCTGCGAGAGCCCCAACTCCTCAGTAGCCAGCAGAGCATTAAGGAACCGAGCTGCGGTCACATGTGATGGTATTTCTTCAGAGCTCATCTCCATCATGATTGCGGTACGGGACATCAGGTAGATACAGGTGACGGGGTTCGAGGAAACTGTAGATGATGAAGCTGTACTGCCTGATGAACCTGGTAAAAGGTGTGAGTATTTTTATAACCGACTTCAAAAATAGGAGGTTATTTGATCTAGTGTACAGTCAGAGGTCAAAAGTCCACTGCCACCGTGACTGATGTTCACACGGCAATGCGTAAGTAATTTCATATTAATGAGCATAAAAACGTACGCACGCACGTTCGCATAAACTCACACACACGGATAAAAATATGCGTGTGCATGTGTGTATAAGCGCTGCAGCGCAGTGGACTTTTGACCTTTGACCGTACATATGTTTGTGCGCGTTTATCTAGCGATTGGCTGAACCGATTTTGAGGCGGTTTTCAGAAAACTGTTTATTACACTTAGGTGAGTTTTAGTAGATTAATTAACGGACCCCAAAAAGAGAGGTGGAAGTTCCAAGCATACGATTTAAAAAAAAGAAGAAACTTCTCATTTTGACCTGTATGTATTATTGTGCGCGTTTATCTCGCGATTAGCCAAATCAATACTGATGCAGTTTTCAGAAAAAAGTTTGTGTGTAACAAACAATTTTAGAATATTAATTAGGGTAAGATTTTAACTAACCCCAAAAAAAGCGGGGTGGAGGTCGGTTTTTTTAAACATAATTTTAAAAATATTTAAGTATTCCGTTGGAAATAGGGAAACTCTTCGCGTTGGTAAGTGCCTTTTTGGTCAGACCTGGTAATGGTGGAGATATGGCGCTGGAAGAACTGCCGCCGCTGGTAATAGGTTCCGTGGTACTAAAAGATCCTGCGGCGATGCTGCTCGACCCAGTCTGGTTGGAACAACTGCTGAGGTTGGATCCTGTAATAGGTACGATGTACAAATAATTATAGTGTGTACCTCGTTCAAAAGATGGACGCGTTTAACTGAACAAAGTAAACTGTTCAGCTTCATTGTGTTATTATTTGTAAATAGATTTAATGATCACAGATACCAATGATTAAGTCAGATTTAGAAGCTGTATATTTGTAATGTTCTTCTTTAATAATAAAAATGTGTACCTAGGTACTTACTGTAGTAAGTAATTCATTAGGACTTCCAATATGAAACTTCGGGGGTTACTCACGTGAATATACTAAGAAAAGCTTGACTAGTTTCTCTTCTTCATGAGCAGCGTGGGCCGTCGCGGCGATGTCGCCTACCTTGAGCTTTTCTCAGTATATTTACGTGAGTAACCTGCGATTTTTAGTTAATTTAGTTATGTCCCACGATAGTTATTATACAAACTATTTTTCCAGTTACAATTAACATAGCAAAGCGAGTCATCCGCACTTACCCATAACACTTTTCTCAAGGGAATCGGAACTATTGCTCTCTTTAGAGTCCGGCTGCAGAGGTTTGTGTGGGTCATGTTTGTCCCAGTCACTGTGCCGGCCTAGTGGACTGTAAGACAGGTGGGGCAATCTCTGGGATACGGAGTACAGGTGGGCGTTCACTTCAGCCTGTAACTTCTGACTTTGGACGCTGTAGTATTCTTCACGGGAGCGAAATTCACTATAAAGAGTAGTAGGACATTAATTGAAATGTTGACAATTTGTACGTTATTTTAATCTATTATCTATCTATATATAAATAAAAATGAATTTCCGTTTGTTAGTCTCGCTAAAACTCGAAAACGGCTGAACTAATTGGGCTAATTTTCATCTTGAAAATTTCGTGGAAGTCCACGTAACATTTAAAAGGTGAAATTTTTTTATAGGCGTTACAAAGTTTGCCGGGTCAGCTAGTTATTGATTAAATAAATTAAATAAAAGGTGCATGGTATAATGGTAAATAAAGCAAGTCAATACTTAATACTATACCACTTACTTGTATTGATATTCAGCTTGCATGGGATATCCACGCCTGGAATAATCTACAGGTATTATTGTAATATAATTTCCACTGTTCTGGACATTCGGATTCTCTCCGTAAGCGCCCATATCAGATTGATGTTCCATTTAGCTTATTTTTCACGTTATTTATTTATTTACTGAAAAACCATTTTATTCAGTGATTTCCGGCACGACAGGATATCGATCGTCCACACTTCGCGCTTTTAATTTGGGTTGCCATGTGGATGAACATTCGGATGTTGAAGTAATACATCACAGTAAAATCTGTAGCGACTTCACATGATTCATTGAGTTGTTTTTGTTTAGAATGCGCATATTTATAATAATATTAAGCGAAAAAGGCAGCCAATTAATTCATTAAATCGATCAATCCAATTTAATAATCAGTGGAACAGGGTTATTTTTCCCGTTTTCATTCGTTCATTTTTGACACTGACGGTGCATCTGTCAAAAATGGCAACTTGTCATTTGAGTTTTAATACGTGTTTGTTTTGAAATTAAATTCAATTAATTTCATGGTTAGCTGCCGTTGTTTACCATTATTACTTTAAAAACAACGATTATATAGCTGCTTTTAAATCTCCAAAGGCCCTTACATTAATTGACGTAAGTTACCAAGTTAAATATAGCCTTATGATGAATCAAAACTTTACGTTCCAACCGCTTATACATATACCTAATTTTGATTATTTTTTGTGTATTTACTTATCAATCTTCGTTTTCTTATCAGCAGGTACAAATATTCGAACAGTTATCGCAGTGCGGATGGAGGCTAAACTTAAGGAATACCGGGCACTAAGACGCCGTAAAGAACTGATTGAGAACGCTAAACAGAAGATTGAGGAATCTAAAGAAAAATTAGTGAACTTTTTGGTGCCAAAAATAATTCGAGACATGGGGAAAGTTCATGAGGATGAAGTCTTATTGGTATGTTTTTAAACTTGGAACTATTGCATCTTTTAATGTAATCATTATTTTTAAAGGTTGTTGTCCTTGACCAAACACAAGAGTTCATCATTCAATAAATATTGATGTAATTATCATAGTTTTTTCTATTTTAGTATGTTCTATATATATATTTATATACTTATTTGTATGTTGCGTCAGGTATGTCTTTACATTATTCTCACAAGTGTGTACAATATTGGAATATGTATAAGAGCAATGTAAAACAGACTTTTTTTAAAAGAGTAACAAATGGAGTTTCTTGCTGGTTCTTCTCCACTCGAATCGCAGTTCAGTTCTAAGTGTGGGAGAGCCATGCTTCGGCACGAATGGGCCGGCTCGACCGGAGTGATACCACGGCCTCACAGAAAACCGACGTGAAGCAACGCTTGCATTGTGTTTCGTCGCGTGAGTGAGGTTACCGGAGGCCCAATTTCCCTCCCCTTCCCCAATCTCCCCATTCCCTGAATCCCCAACAATCCTCAAACTCCTAATCCACAAATAGCCGGTAACGCACTTGTAACGCCTCTGGTGTTCCAGGTGTCCATGGGCGACGCCGATTGCTTTCCATCAGGTGATCCGTCTGCTCGTTTACCGGCTTATGCCATAAAAAAAAAAAATCGACATTTTGGAACGAGCGCCTAGCTTCACTGACGGACAGACTGACAGACTATTATATATTTCATATTTGTTGATGTTTCAAAAGTACCAAATTATGGTTTAATTGAAATAAATGCGTTTGAGTTTGAGTTTGAAAAATCTGTGTGTGTGTGTGTTTGTTCCTTTGTGACTCTAAAACAAAAATTGCTGAAGGGATTGGGATAAAAGTTGTAACAGAGGTAGTTTGTGATCTGGAATAACAAATAGGCTACTTTTATCCCATGCCAATGTGGGTAAAAGCGCTGGCAGGAACTAATATGTAGTAAATATTGAATTACTTACCTAATTTTCAGATGGAAAATGAGGAGCCACCACCAACAGACAACACAGTAGAAGAAATCAACGACGTAGTTTCCGAAGTGAGCGAAGTGGAATCATTTGAAGAGCCTGAAGAACCATGGAGGCATTGTCTGATCAGATGGACAGTATACTTATGTATATGGGCAGTATTCTGGGCAGTGTTCATTCACCTACAGTTTGGTGCGGTATACTTCGTAATATCTGTATTGATAGGTATTTATCTTAACACTCGGACAAGACCGAGAAAGAAAGGAGAAGTGTCTGCATATAGTGTGTTTAACCAAAACTGTGTTAGTATTGACGGGACTTTAAAAGCGGAACAGTTTGAGAGGGAGATACGGTATGGTGCGGGTACTGTTAGAAGTTTTTAAGAAGTGATATAGAATATCTTTTAAATGTATACTTATTACTTAATGGATCTCGGACAATACATCCTTCAATGTCATATTTTACTAAATAAAACTTTATTTGTTTGTTAACACTGATTGGAGAAAAGGACTTATAAGAAATGTGAAAACCTTTTAAGATTACTATCTAATTAAGACTAATACAGAAAGATGCATCAAAAATGTTGATATATGAATATTTTATATAATAGACAATGTATGTATTAATGTTTGTAATATGTAAGATACCGAATGTGATTCAAATCAAATCAGGTATCTCTGTTAATCATGCAAAATTACTCGACGGATTTTTATGATGTTTACCTCATATGTGACTGTACTTTACTTTTTTACTGTAGTTAAGTTAATTAGATCCTATAAATATATTGTCTATAAGGCAAACCTGTAAAAATATTCAGATTAGTTTATGTCAGGTGTTTAAAAATGTAATTAAAATAACCTATGTAACTTAAGCCCTTAAGCCATAAAGTTGACTTTCGTAAAGCATTTGGCTGGAGTCTAAAAGACCCATTGCAATGACGTACTAGTTAGTTCTAACAAAATATACCAGTTCAAGCCGTTAAATTGTGAAAAGTCGTTACCATAGAATTTTACTAAATAAAAAATCATATGTTTGAAAATGTCGTCATATTTTCTATGATAATATCTGCATTATAGACAGATTTTGTGCATTTTTTATGATTTTACGAATTGAACTGTATCCATTTAACCGGTGATCAGCTAATTATGACGTGTAAGTGTATGTATAAGTTTTTTAATTTATTATGTGCATATAATTTATTAAGGCTTTGACTGCCAATAGAAAACTGTTGAAGACAAATCCTCTGCTAACGTCGTTCAGCGTTTAACATGTTAATAAAATTGATATTTTTGGCACTTTTATAATGCTGAAATGATAATATTTTAATAAAATCAATTTTAAAATATTATGCGGTTTTTTTTTGTATTAAAAAGTATTTACAGACGTCGTCAGTAAATAGATAGACCAGATTTTTGTTTTCGAGAAACTGGTCACTCATCACTAAAATGACCATCACAACCTTACCTTACTAATCTGTTGAATTATATGTATGGAGAGACAGGGTGAGACTCCATTAAAATGAGTTAGACCCATGAAGGCCTAATTTTTGACGATTTCTAGATCATCATCATCAGTGATAGAATAGCTTAGTCTTGTAGCAGACTACAAAAAATCTTACAGTATATCAAAAAGAGGTCTAAAACAAAAAAAAATATTTTGTATGGGTCTAGAGAGACCCACATAATGGGGGTAGTAATGAAATATTTGCTAATTGAGGGATGGGAATGACTGGAAAAAGTGGACCCTAATTTTGGTATCGAAGGTTGAATTTAGATGGATTGAATAAGATAGTGTTGTGTTGGTGGTGATATGAATTTCAGTAGGCAGGTTAAATAGAAAGAAAAAATCGGTTCATTATAAATTATATTTCAATATTAATAATCACATTTAGAAATTGACAACGAAAATATACTTATTATAAATTTTACAATCAGAAATAAAGCATAATTCAATATAAATAGAGTTCCAAATTCAATATAATGGCATAGAACATTCTGTTTTATAAACATCTTGGTAACTTTAAATTCTATGATAAACATGGCTTGTAAAAAAGTTAATTTGGAAACAGTACTTTTGTCCAACTATAAAAGAAAAAAAAATTTGAGCTAAATATTTTGTACATACATTTTTGAGCTTATTAAATAAAAATATGTCATGAAAACTAAACATGGCGGAAAATTTCTCCGTTTGGCATTTAAAGCCTAAACCGTTATTTGTACTTCGATCAAGAGTTATGATCAGACGTCTAAAAACGTCCGATTCCATTATAAATAGTAAGATTATTTTGTGTAATAACTATAACAGACCGTCATTATATTACGAGGATGCCCGACCATTTTCCAGTCCGACGGGAGCCCTCGGGCAACCATAACACAGTGACGTAAGTTGCATAGACAATGAACTAACATTTTGTTGAATTTATTTATCCATAAATACACAAGTACCTACATGGTCAAATACATGAAGAAACAAGATAAATAAGAGAAAAATGAAATGGAAACTTAAAAAAAGAGTTTTAAGTGTAGTCAAATTTTCACATGTCATGGTTCCCTCGGCTAGTTAATAGCTAACCTTTGAAATATCACAATGGCAAACCAACGTCTACATAAACAATATTTAATTTTTGTGACAAATATACAGAAAATATCTAACATTAAATTCCAATATAATCCTAATTTTATTTTCTATCTAGTAGGTATAACATTTTCCAACATGGTAACTCTGTACGTCGATTTAATTTTAAATAATAGTGAGAGGTACTTATATATAAAAAAAGAATAATAAGTATTCAGTACATTCATCTGTATAAAATGAAGGAATGTTTTGATAGTCGAGAAATAATATTTTTAAAACTTTTTACAACATTAACTCGTCGAGTACCGTCATTATAGACACAATTATAGAACAATAGGTTGCGGTCACCGGTGACCGCTTGGTGTTTGACAGTTTAAACTGTGAACCTAAGTCTCTCTGTCGCGGAGAACCTAACGGCTAACCGGGGCTCCGGCTCGACGTGCAGGAGAAGGAACGGGGTGGTTTTTAGTCAGTAAGAGACTGACACTCCCTCCCGCCTCACCGAGGCGGGAGCAGTCATTCGATGATTTTCCACCCTTAAAAAAAAAAGTCTTACTCTGCAAGACTTACGTTCCGCACATGATCATAATGGAATCTCAACCTTATACTTTTGTGATAACGTGTAAAATCAATTATACACAGATTATATAACATTAATATTCTGTGTAGCTGCCTGTGTATTTTGTTTACATCATGAAAAACACAATTTATTATGATATTGGACTAGGGAGTACCTACCTATTTATTTATTTCGGCATTTTTTAAGGAATATATAATAATGTAACATAATATTGCATTTATTATGCATAATCACAATTAACTTGTTCATACAGTTACACAATCTCTTTAAACTTAAAAATAAATAATACATAAATAACTAGATATATTATCAATAATGGCACAATACTTCTAATTTATTATTTTATTTATCGTTTCAAATGGACAATATAAGGCACCATTTCAGTATTTACAAATTGTATAGAGAACAATATGTTAGGACCAGCTTCACAGTCATTATCAAAATAAACAGAAAAAATTACCATTAAGGTGGCAGATCATCAACTTCAATAGGGTAGTTATTAATTAATTTTATTTTAATGTCCGTCTGGTACATTAATTTAAAACTTTAGACACGTATTTTTTCTTTTCTCACAAAATAAATACTTTTGACGATATATTAATTTGAAATATCGTGTGACGTCACAGCGTGCCACATTTTGTAACACGTTATGACGTAACAACTTCCCACTCCTAAACTTAGCGCCGTTTCATCTAAATATTGCCACCTAATACGAGAAAATAAAAAAAAATACGTGTCTAATATTTTTTTATTATCTAACTGACGGACTAATTCGATTTTTAGTTTTGATACCCTGAAAACTACCCAATTCAAGTACCAATCAATTTTCAATTTTATTTTAGAAGCAATAAAGTTGGAAATCCTGTTAAAAGTTGAAAATAACTCCTGTGAAACTGGACCATCATTTAAGATCGTTGGTGATTAGTTCTTAAAGTACAGTCAGGGTGTTTCTGCGTGGTGACGACAAAATAAATACATATGTCATCATCGGGATTTGTCCAGTGGGTGGGAAGGCAATCAGAAAGAACGGGTACGCATAAGCATACGCTAGGAACAGTTCAAGACTCCGTTTAAACAATGTTATAAGAATGTATCTAAATAGTTTAACACCAATGACTGTACTCTGAGATCTATCTAACCAACCTCGATCACTTTCAATTTCAACTATGTATTAAATAGTAAGGCTGAGAACTGCCTATTTATCCAAAGTTAGCTTCCATCCCTGTCTTTCACCTATGCTTTAACATATGTGTGACAGAGACATAAATACTGGCATAAACAAGCAGAGGGTTAGCCAGTATGAATAAAGTATGAGTAGAAAAATATACAACATGATTCGTTACAGAGCGCACAAAAATGGCCTATAAGCCATACAACAAATATTATACAGGGGCCTAACACATTTTCCATTAAAACGTTCGTCACAGATACTAAATTAATTATTATGTTTTCGGTTTACTCACGTTACTGTTTGATTAGAAACGAGGATCGAAGCCGAAAACATAATAATCATTAGAGAATAGAGAATAATAGAGAATTGTATTGTGAACCTGATTGAAAAAGAGTAACCTATGGAGTTTCTTGCTCGTTCTTCTCCATAAGAATTCACACCTAAGAATGAGCAAATAGCTTCACTTTTAATTTTTTTTGTTGACGTTCAAAAGTGCCTTTCTGGTGTAATTTAAAAAAAATGATTTTGACTTTGACTTCGACTTTGAACATTTTCCATTAATTCAGAAGTAGTTAGAAATGCGTGCATTCAGATGCTTTAATTTAATGAATGTGTGCATTTCTGACTATTTAATGTATTATGTTAAAGAAGCGAAAAGTTGATGCTAAAATGTCGTTATATCATGTTTAGAAGTCCTTTGACCTTGAAAAGTGCAGTCTGGAATTATCTGTAATTGTCCAGACACCGCACTATTGACGAAATTATCACAATAATATTTTGCCTGACTGAGGAAACCAACCCCTCTTACTCTGCAAGAAGGCAGTCAGTTTATTATGAATGACATTGTAAACTTAATACAAGAATATGAACTGACATAAAATATTCTAAACACGCAAAAAACGATAGATACACTAAGGAATGTTGGTAACTAAATGCAATTAATAGGAAGCAACTTCATCAATACATATTAAACTTTATCTTAATCATCATTAAAGTCTAGTTTTGTTAGTTTTCCAACGTTATTGTCGAATTGTTTGGGGCGTGGATTTTTCTTTATAAATATGTCACCTTACTACTAAAGCTTTGAAGTGTCTCACATAGCAATTATGTTTATAATATTATCACATCTATAGCTTATTGACATATACACACACTTTAAATTAATTTCTGGAATATTCCAGAAATTCGGTTTTAAATGACATTAAAGGTAAGTCTCAATAAGAAACATTCTTTATCCGGCAAGGGGCTCGAACCAAAGACCTCTTACTGTGCCCTATCTAAACATTTATAACAGCAATGTTTATCGTGTATAATAACTATCGTGAGACATACAAATTTTGTTAAAATATACGACTTAAATTATCATATCTGTTCGAGTGCGCTCGACTAGTTTCAAGCCCAGACCAGGGCTTATAACTATGAGCAACATGCGCGACAACGTATGATTATATACCCCAGTCGTGGCTTGAAACAAGTCGAGTACGTTCGTATGATTAAGTCGCATATTCTAATTCACGTAGTATTAATAATTATCAACATTTAGTACAACAGTTTAATTGATTGGACAAACAATTCGTTATATTAAATTAGTAGGAATGAGTACATTACTTCTGGATATACCTATATCTACCCTTACTCTAGTCGTCAGTATATACAAATATTTGAAGAGTAAATATCTATTTGGTATAACCATCACATTACATACAAGATGGGGCACATATTGGACCGCCAACGCATGCCAAACATTGGTCCACTAACACCAACAATCACTGCTTTCATTATAGAACAGTGCGATAGGAATGTTGGCCCACCAACATTGGCATAATATACCTTTGCAACAATTCCATCGTCATCGTCAGTTCACTATAAAAATACGCCATAGAAAAGTTTATTAATGACACGAGACCTGTATAAAACAATCCTGTACTTCATTGATGACTAGTAGAAAAAATACTAAGTTTTCATTGTTGTTCCTACGACTAAGTAAAAAATCGCACCTCTATATTTGATCGTAATGTTCACTCTTGTTTTAATAAAAAAAAGAAACTGAGAATACTAAAGTAATATGCTACTTGTACTTAATTACAACATTGGTCTTACAATAACCAACTTTTATGTTACAAAAATAACCCTTATGTTCTAATAAATACGTCATTGTTTCGGACACTCTCGGACTTCAATCATTCGCTATAGGTGGTGAAGATCTACGGAATATACTGGGAAAAGGCAGTTTGTAGTAACCACTGCTTGGTAGGAACGGGTTGACGTCATTCGCCCGTTTCACATCGGGTAACAGGAACCCGACACTTAATGCTATAATCATGTGCCACAGCGAATGCACAATTTTATAATTTTGTTCTGTTTGTAAGAAACCATATGATACTAAACCTACAGTAACTAATATTAGACCTATAGGCATGTGCTTAAAGAAGTACGACCTCGGGAACTTGAGACTCCTATGTTTTCTATAATCCAGGTACCAGGAACTGAAGACTATTGATGTACCGACGGCGACAGGGAGTAGGAAGGAGACGAAGGAGTGCATGTTCCAAGTTGTAAGTAAAGCTATGACTATTGCACCTATAAGTTGTAGTGAGGAACGTATCCTCTCGTTTATAATGCTCATGGCAAGTAAGGTTACCCAGAAAGACATGAGCCCGCAGTAAAAGTCTCCAAACTGGAGGATGTTACCTCTGATAATGCAGTAGGCGACTTGAGAAGGCGCATCGCACGCGTGGTAGAAAGTTGAGAAGATCATGGTGAAGGCATACATCATGGCTTCCGTGTAGTACAGCCGGATCGTCGCCACGTAAATTGAGAAGAAGAAGAGAATGTTGCTCAGAGTTAGGAGTAGTACAGAAAGGAGCATGTACGCTCTGCTGTCCATTCTTGAGTTATCAGAACAGTCCCAACCTGGAATTGAGAATCAAATAATTAATATTTCATGTAAGTTGAATTATGTAAGAAAAATGTAAACATAGATAACGATTTAAGATTTCGTAGTATAATATAAAAATTAAATCAATAATCAATATGAATATATTCTTCAATATGAATTTATTTTTCTTATGGGTTTCGAACCCACTTAGATGACAGTTCACTAGCGATGCGACCACTCAATCGATTGCATTAATTAATATATTGAATGGGTTATCAGGGACTAATTTTAAGTAAAGTTACAAAAATATTTGAACTTACTTCCGTATCCAGAAACGCATGAGCAAAATGACATCATCAGCGCTCCGAACGTGTTAACCAAACAGTTGCCATGGTTACTGCACTTCCCAGAGACACAAGACGTTGAGGACACCGTCAACACGGCAGTTGCATTGCACTCTGTCGTACCAAGACGAGTCTCGTTCGACCCAACTACTGAATCATCAAATTCCTTCTTCCCATCAGCATCTACATAATACTTCGTATTGTTAGCCCCAATTCGGCAAGGACAAACAATCTGGTCACAGAACAACCGAAGAGTTACGTACCAAGTTCCACTATCAGGGAACGGAATTAACGTCTTGTCGTATATCGAGTCCGAGTCCGTACTATTCAACACAAACAAAGCCGGCGTCACCCTGTCATTGTACCGGCAATGACCACTCTCCAATGGTATACTTGGGTGACCAATATCCACACAAACCACGACCTTGAAAAACTGGTTATCCTCAGTAAAGGCTAACAATGTTTCCTTTTCTGCCTCCCTCTTGTATCCCATGTAGTACTTAACACTCATAAGAAGACTGGTCGCTATTGATAAGCTCCCTCCAATGTCTAAAAACTGATTGATTTTAAACCTAAACGTTTTTATTTCAGACGAAGTTAGATTGATGAGACTCGTCGTGTCTTGAATGTCTGTTGTGGGCACACCGTAGTCGAAAGTGAAAAATCGACCTTTGTCGTCCCGCATAAAGTCTGTAACTGTGTGGTTGACTAGCTCGTCTATGTCTGTTCTTAAGAAATATGATTCGCAGTCGGCGATACTGGATGAATTGCCATCTATAGGTCCTATGTGGATGTAGTGCCAGGCGTTCGGGTGAGGGATGAACGTGATAGTTTGAAAATTGTTTGCTCTTGGGTTGAAAGCACAGTGTATGATGTTTTCCTCAACTGTCGGTATAGATAGGGCCTGTACTCTAAAGAACAGTTCGTTGTCCCCTACGGAAGTGTTGACTATCGAGATATTGAGAGCGATCGGGTCGACTCTGTCAACGGACATACATTTGAAGAGAGCGGGCAAGTCGCCGTAATTTATCTCTGTTACACCATTGTAACAATCTATCAACTCGATGTTCTCATTGCGTTTTACTTGTAAATCTGAGTACAGTATCGTCTGGCAGTTCGCGACGAGACCTGAAAATTAAAAATAAAACAGATATTTATTGTATCAATCGAAAGACGAAACAGTATTATAAAATTACTATAGTAAATAAACAATTCGAAGTGTTTAGTAGTATTCGACGAAACGTGGTTTTTTTTTTTTTTAATCTTTATTTAATAAGAAGGGCTTTTTTCCGTAGAGGAAAATGTCAGCCCTATTATAGGATACAAAATTCAATACAAAAAATAAAGCAGCTAAACCTTTTGTAGGTTTAACTATCCCTTAAGCTCAAACACAAATTAATTAAACGCTACCTACGTTATCGAAATCTGCTAGTGAGGCTGAGTCACAACATTTTTTATGAATACTATTTACCTACTCAATATGGACATGATTCAAGTGTGTTTTTACAGATAGACGCAGGCTGTCCGCCACACCTTTTCAAGTTTTCCTCTTATTGAAGCTATATTTAACAATAAAATTATCACTAGGTAAATTCATTAAGATCGTCCTTAAGTTTATTATTTTTATACCACTGAGACAACAAACAAGTTCGACCCGTCAGTCCGCCAGTTGAAAGTTGAAAAGGACTACTCGTAGCCTAAAATCTGCAACATTACTGATGTTGTACCTATTTAGAAGTATGATGCTAAGTCTTGGGTAGACCCCCAACCATCATACTTTATATTATTTTGATAATCTTATCTTATACTATAAATCTGATGAGTTTGGTTGGTTAAAAGCGCTAGGCAAGTACCCAATTCTACCATATGAAAAACGGTGAAATATCAATGGTATTCTACAGTTAAGAAATATCTGTTAACTAGCTATTACCCGCGGCTTCGCTCGCGTCACAAAAGGATTAAAAGTAGCCTGTGTGACATTTACCAATCAATACACACAGCGCCATCTATACCAATAATTTCGTTTTCCCTCGAGAATATCAAATTTTTCCGGGATAAAAAGTACCCTATTATTTAATCCAGACTTCTAACTTTACGTCTGCAAAAATTCAAAACAATCGGTTTAGTAGTTACGGCGTGAAAGCGGAACAAACAAACAAACAAACTCACTTTCCCATTTATAATATTATAGTAAGGATTGAAAAATCGGCCTTTAGACAACAATAATGCGGCGGAGACAGAATCGACCTAGAAATAGACTAACACTGCAATATCGCAAACGATTCACATTAATGAGAGATATAACCATCAATACACATACATCACAAAAAGGGACAAGATAAATCTAAATAGCATTACACTCGAAGCTTTTGTATGTATCATCACGACTGCATACAATTGTCACAGGATGTCGGCAGTCGAACAATCACGTAACGAGGTCACGCACTGGCTTTGAGCGGGATCACACCGCGTCGAGTTTAAACTCATGCTTATGACCGTATGTTTAGTTTAAACTCAATAATATGTATATAAGCGGTGAATGAATTTTGTGCGTGTAATATATATTTTTAGTTCGAAGGTATTAATTCGATTGTTATCGCTTTTGGGTTTATTATGCAAATCATTGATAATTTTTTGTGGGTTAGTTAAGTTTTTAACGCATTATAGTGACATTTGTTTACCGATTTCATTACTTTTTATTGCTTTATTGTGTTTTATGAAACTCTCTGTAGGTACCTTTATATAGGCTAGTAAATTATGTATCTTAACCCTTTGAGTACCGTCATTATAGACACAATTAAAGAACTAAAGAACAATATGTTGCGGTCACCGGTGTCCTCGCGGTGTTTAACAGTTTAAAGCTGTTGCCTTCTCCCTTGTTTATTCATGAATCATGTTAATGAATCAAATATTTCATTGTAACATTTAGTTTTTATTTTAGTCCTGGTGGTTTAAGGACTTAGGCAGCCTTTTCAAACAAATCTGATTTTAGTGTAAAAAAAATAATTAGCATTATTTTAAAATAAGCCAATATTATTAGGATCGATTTTATTATGATTAGGATTAGGATATAATTGATATCACAATAAAAAGTCTGAAAGTCAGTCTGGTACAGTAAAATTACTACTTATACTTTTTTTATTTTTTACAATTTTTAATCTATACTTAATCGCGATCAAGCACTTATTAGCAACATTAGATAAGTAGGATTTAATCAGTGTGACGTGACGCCAATATCCTATTTCCTGTGTCTATGACGCATTGACATACGCATCAACAAAAATGTTTTCTGCTTTGTAAAAAAATTTTTCAGCCAGAGTCCTGGGTTTATAGTATACTAGCTTAGCTTCTGCCCGTGGGTTCGCCCGCGTTCCCATCGGATAAAAGGCTACGTATTATTCCAGACCATAATCTATCGCTGTCTCTTTCAACCAGAACCCTTCAAGCGTTTTGACGTAATTGATTAACAAACTTAAACACAAGTACACAAAAGTCAAAGTCAAAGTCAAAGCATTTATTTCGATTAAACCATATTTTGGTACTTTTGAAACGTCAACAAATACAGTATAAATAATAGTCTGTCAGTCAGTCCGTCAGTGAAGTTAGGTGAAGCCAGGTTGCTCATTCCAAAATGTAGATTCGAATGGAGAAGAACGAGCAAAAAAACTCCATTCGTTACTCTTTTTAAAAAAGTATGTTCTACAATGTCTCTGATACATATTCTATTACAAACTTCATTTAAAATATTTTTTTTTTCTTCTTCATTTCTTCTTCTAAAATGGTGTTGTCGACTATATTTAAAATATTAGTAAGATAGATCTCGCATTTTTTTTAAGGGGGGATAGTCATCGAATGACAGCTCCCGTCTGGGTGAGGCGGGAGGGAGTGTCAGACTCTTACTGACTAAAAACCACCCCGTTCCTTCTCCTGCACGTCGAGCCGGAGCCCAAGTTACCCGTTAGGTTCTCCGCGACTAACATTCCACCCTGTATTAAATCTACATGTAGGTATATATATCAAACTTTATCAACAGATCTCTACATATTACTGTTACAACAACAATGTCGGGGCCACGGTTAGTAAGTCTATAAATAAGTTATAAACACGCAACTCCTATTTATGATATTTAACTAGCATAACATAACACATACATAACATCACGCCTTTTATCCCCGAAGGGGTAGGCAGAGGTGCACATTATGCCACTACAATGTAACACCCACTTTTCACTATTTAAATAATTACCTACAACTCTGTGAAGAGCCTAACTGCCTCGTTGGCCGGGCAAGGGGTCTCGTGTTGAATTCCCGGGTCGAGCAAAGCATTACTGGGGGTTTAAAAAATGCTCAGTAGCAGTTCGGAGTTTGGAATTGTGCTTGGCAATAGGCTCACCCCCTATTACATGGGCCTCATAACAGAAATAGTGAAAAGTGGGTGTCACATTGTACAGTGACATTAAGTGCCGTAATCTGCATCTCTACCTACCCCTTCGGGGTTAAAACGCGTGATGTTATGTCTGTGAAGTGCAAAATTCTGGTTGTACAAAATGACACACACCTAATGAGGAAAAATACTTGGTAACTACGAACGTAATTCCCCGAAGCGTAAATACATAAATAAACCAATAGTTCTAACTAATATCTAGACTTATTCGATGCTGTATTTTTTAATACTTAATTTGCAAACTAACTGTTGTTATTGGTCGTTTGATATGATAAACGCACCCAGGAGCAGGATCTCATGATCAAGCGCACTTACAACCTCTTTAATACCAAAAATATCTTTTTAATGGATTTACTATCAACAAGTAAGTGTGGGAGAGCCATACTTTGGCACGAATGGTCCGGCTCGATCGGAGTGATACCACGGCCTCACAGAAAACCGAAGTGAAGCAACGCTTGCGTTGTGTTTCGTCGTGTGAATGAGGTTACAGGAGGCTCAATTACCCAGCCCCTCCCTTCTCCAATCTCTCCAATCCTAGAATCCCCAATAATTCCCAAACTTCTAATCCCCAAAAGGCTGGTAACGCACTTGTAACGCCTCTAGTGTTCCAGGTGTCCATAGGCGATGCCGATTGCTTACCATCACGTTATGCGCGTATACTCGTTAACCGGCTTATCCCATAAAAAAACAGTAAGGTCAAGGGTTAAACATTGCCATACAACGTGGCAATGCTGCCAGTCTTTTGGATATAGACTCCTTAGGTCACGACCACGAAGAGGTACGTCAGACAGATCTTACGATAAACAACCGTGGTCGAATAACAAGTCTATGAATACTAACAAGACCTACAAGTAATTTTGGTTAGCTCTCCATCACCATCAGTGACCACCGCTAATTTGTATTAGGTACTATTAGGTAGTGTGTGTGCGCAATAGCCCAGAATAACGTAATTGTAATAGTGCCCATCTATCGGTGCATCATAACATCATAACTTCACGCCTTTTTTCCCGAAGGAGTAGGCAGAGGTGTATTCATTATGTCACTGTACAATGTAACACCCACTTTTCACTATTTATGTTATGAGTGCTATGTAATAGGGGGTGAGCCTATTGCCATATACCGGGCACAATTCCAGGTTCCGTGCTACTGTGTTTTTTTTTAAACCCAGTTTTACTTGCCCGACCCGGGAATCGAACCTGAGACCCCTTACCCGGCAGTCGCATTTGCGACCACTCGGCCTGTAAGGCAGTCTATCTATCGGTGCATTTACTAAAAATCCTTCCTAATAGATTTCAAGGTATTTTGAATACTTTATACGATTCGCTTCATATATATCCTTATCATATTTCACCACTGCTGATAAAATTTCTGTTACTTATTAAGAAACAGGCTCATAGACTAATATTTGAACACGGTACGGATCAGGAGATACGAGATCTCGTCGAATTTACAATCACGCGACCAGCGGAGCAATCGTGGGTAGGTATCTCTTTATAGATAAATCAATTTATTATTTAGGTACTATCCGGAACACGTATATGTACATTGAATTCAGTCATTAGTTCATTACACGCACTTTTCGTCAATTGTGACTAAGTGACAATCGGACTTGCCCTTTAAGATAAGCTTGCTTTTGGGCATGCCCTCTCTGTACAATAACATTTTTAACTGAAAAATAAAAAATACATAATTTGCCCTACTTTAGAATCAACAGGCTTTAAAGTGGAGTAGCGAAACATTGTTTTTGGCGACCGTCATCATTTAAAATAACGATAAAATGACATCGTAATATTCAAACATTCGTAGGAAATAATCAATCAACATTATGACAGATACAACTGATATTTATGTTTACTTATAGCGCGTTTAGATAACTACAGAGGTCACGATATTTATAGGCCACAGATAATTAATTAAAAAGATCGTCCGGTTCATTGTTTTGGAGTTTTTAGAACATTCCAAAAAATGTTTACAGAAAAATTTTATTTATTAATGAACAAGTGCCTACTCTCTTATAGGATGTTTGATAAAATGGAGTATGAATCATAATAATTGTTTTAACAACATCATAGAATTAGGCATTAAAACGGGTTAAGTGGCGCGAATGCGAATGCGAATACTGAGTCAGGTCAGCGCAGCAGTCCTAGCCTACAATATCCACTATATTATAGCCAGTTCACTTCACATCATTATCAGCCGGAAGATATTCGGACTCTCCCTGCGTCCATCATGTCGAACATCAACTATAACCGCTTGCAGCCATATAAAAATTTCAAAATTGAAAAAAATAATAATATTTCGGATCTGAAAATGTGTAAAATTGAGATATTTTTAAATTAATATATTACATAGAACACTAACCTTGTTGTTCAACTTTTTGCGTCCTCGGATCCTCCCATTTTATATAAATCAAGGCGTACCAGTTACCTGGCTTAGGGTTCTCTATAGAATACGTCTTATTTCTGCCGTCAGATTGCAGTTCTAGCGTATAAATGGGTTCTCTTTTCCCTGGATCGTAGAAATCTTTGGGGAAATCGTACCCATCAGGATTAACTGCAGGGTAGGATCCGTGCTTGAGGTTTACTATCACCTCTTGTGGATTGCATGATCCTGAAATAGAAAAAAAAGGGCTATTTTAACACATTTTTGTAGAACAATAAATTAGTATATGAACAAAACCTTATCTACTATCGCACAGATTTCGATAACGGCGAAAATTCATATTTACATGTTGAGCTTAAACAAATAGTTATCGTATTCTTCCAAAGATAACGTTGTATTGGATTGATAAAAAAATGTTGGCTAATAAAATATTACGTATATCGATCAAATGACGCGGCGTCCCGTTGAATAGTTAATGTTTCTGTCTAATGGCTTTTTCCCAATTAAGTTAAAGTCCGCATTGATTGGTTTCATGTTAAAAAAAATCCATTGATTATTCCCCATTAACGCTGCCAGCGCCCCTAGCGGACACTTCCAGCACTATAAACTGGCCGAGTGTCTTGAAATAGTGTACAAGACCGAAACTCCAGAAACCCGCAAGATCGTTTACCAGCGACAATCAATTAATTTGGTTAGTTTCATGAAACAGCCCACGCAGGCTCGCCTCACTTACAGCGGCGACAAATTACTTAGATTGGACCAATTACTTGGGTATTGAATTACCCTTAGCTATACTTTATGTAAGTCACAACCCCGTGTGGGAGAGGGCCTAAAATATAATGAAAAGGGAAGGACCTAAAAGGATTCATAACTAACTTTTGAATTAATTTTGAAGTGATTAAACAATGACTGAATATTATTGTTTTTGTACTCTTCCACAAATGTTTAAAGGCATACAAGTAGTTGATTCAGATTAGGCATAGTACACTGCATAAAAGGGGGGAAATTAAAGTTTCTTTATAATTGACTAGCAGCCCGTCCCGGCTTCGCACGGGGTAGACAATTATTTATTTTTGAAAATTTGGATTGTTGTAGTGACATACTACAATAGTTGGAAATATGCTACCGCTTCTTTTCTACACCTTCGCTTACATTGTTCAAATTTTACCAAGGATCCCAAATTTTTTTCAAAATGAAATGTAGTCTATGTCAAATTGGAAGAATGTTGCATTCCATTGGTGAAAGATTTTTTTAAATCGGCCCAGTACTATTTGAGCCTATTCATTACAAACATACAAAAATAGGTACAAATCTTTCCTCTTTATAATATTAGTATAGATGAACAGGTGACATTTTGTTAATTGAATTCATTAGCGAATGACCTTTTAGTGAAAATGGATATAGTGACAGTGACCTGATTAAAGAGCCTTCAGCCATTGATCAATGTGGAAAAATATTGGCTTGAAATACATCCTTACATACTAAATTAATTAAAGTATATAAGTTTGTGTGCATTTAATGGACAAATGATGTGATTTAATGTATGATTTTGGTGTCGGAAAATAGTTAGGAGGCTGGAGAGAGATTCTGAATTAATTTTATTCTTTACCATATGGTTGAAGCTACTCCATTTACTGAGTTTAAAATGTCATAAAACATTAATCTTCTCCAAGCACAAATAAGATGTCACATCGTGAAGTAACGCAGGAAATCTTCAATTACTCGAAGACGAGACAATCAGTTAACAAAACATAGCAACTGGACGGACACTTGGACAATAAATGCATTATTGTAGGCGTGAGGTTTGCATCACTCTCGAGGTGAAGCTAAATTAAATGCATTGTGTTAATTAGAGCAGAGGCTGAGGATGATATTACCTATATGTATATTGATACATTATACTATGGCGATGATACAGTTATTAATGCATGATTTAAAAATGACATTGAGCCTGATTATTTTATGTATTTTAATTTTACACTAGGTACCTCATTAATTTCGTTATGAACTTTTTAGTAAGGTTCCAATAGGATTTGCTTAAATCAAGTTTTTTAAGAAAAAAACAATTGTCGGTTGCTGTTCGGGTGGTAATAACGAGTTGGTTGGTTGGTTGGTGTTTGGAAATGCAATTAATATTTTTAAGAAATAAAATTTTTTAAGAAGTCTTGTTTGTGTACTGCTTTAGATGGTGGTTCATTATTATAATCAGTTTATCCAGTTGCAGATTGATACTATACTATATTTTACTTCTATATAGTTATAAAATATGCCTTTTTGACAAGCAAACTACAGCTAGTAATAATAGATCACGGGTTAGCATCTATTCATCTATGAATTACTGTATCCTTTTCACTACTACAAGACCACAATTTTAAGACTAGTAAGAAGCAGATGGAGTTGGATGACTGTTAGAAATGGTTAGCCAAATGTATTTTAAATTCTATATTACTTTATTACACCTACTTACATTTTTAAACTAACATTTTTTGAGTTTATCTACCTATATACTTAATTAGATATAATTATTATTATTTATAAACAAATTAGCAAGTTTTTCTAATAGTTAGGGATACCAGACATGAATTATAATGCCTCAACTGCAATAGTAAATATTGAAAAATTATGTTATCAATAAATTAAAACTTTTTTTTGTTTAATAAATAGGCAGTCTGTAATTTTAGACATTTAATTAATTCATTTTAAATATTCCAGGTCACATTGGGCAGAAGTTATAAATTTTTCAGTTGTAATTATTGTTTTTATAAAATTAATTATATAAACTTTTCTCAACTATTTGTGACATCAAAATAAAGTAAACTTATTAATTTTAACGACCTTACCTTTGAGCCCGATAGTTTCTTCTCAGACTTATTATAATTTAAGTAAATAAATGATTATTTAAAACATTCCACATGCAATAATATTATTCAGCTATAAAGCATAGTTTTCAAAACTTATACTAAGAGAAATATTAGCATGCTACCTACCAATGTTATTCAAATGAAGCTCCTCAGATTGGAAGGTGAAGCGAGCGTCGGTAACATCCCTCATAACAGGGTAGAAGACAACAGAAACGGTGCGGTAACTTCTAAACATATATACATCAGTGGCAACCTGCCTAGTAACCAAATGGTAATCATCTAATAACACAGTACGTGTTTTTGTTAATTGGTCCAGTATCCTCTTCCTGGTCTCCTCATCTTCTGTGTCTTCAGTACCAAAAATAAAATCGGTGCACACAAATAATAATAAAAGAAATTGGCAAGCTCTCATTTCGACGATTAAGCCTACCTGCCTACAACACGTCCCGATTTGAAGTGTGAAACATTAACAGAAACCAGTAGGATATCTAGCTTAATTCACAACTTATTTATTAATCATTAAATATTTAGGTATTTAATCACGTTTCACGTTATCTGCGAGCACATCCACCGCAGATGTGACGATGGATCACAACGAACTTTTAACTTCACTCCACACCACACAATAATCAATCAACAAACCATTTGTCAAACTTGACATTATCAAATGACAAATATGTCAGTGCCAAGCAAATGTCAGTTCATCTTTTTTTTAGCTTGAATATTAGTCTTTTTCAACTTCGTTATGTAATCGCATTATTTGTATAAATTTGATTTCCACTCGACGTCGACTAACAACCTTCATACATTCTAATAATTATTCCAGAAGTTTTTCTAAGTAAACAACAGAAGCTATTACATAAATAAAATTAAAACTAAATATTACTAAATTAAATATATACAACTTATGATTAAAATTAATTATAGGAAAAATAAACTATTTATAAGGCATCGAAAAATTCGTCCGCATCGACGTCAGTGGGGAAAGTACCCAGAAGGCTGGCAGCATTGCCACGTTGTATGGCAATGCTTAACCAAGATTGAGAAGAAGAAGAAGACAGAAGCTATAGTTGATAGTTGCCTGGTAGTTGGTTGTTGCCGCAAGTAAATTAGCCAATACTGTTGATATAATGTATGAATGACGGATTTGACAGCAAATTGACCGACTAATGAATGAATGAACTACTATCAAATTGGTATTGTCATTGTATAATTTTTCCCACAATTTTGGGAATTTGACTACAAACACATGCATGTGATATCCATGTGGTATACCATAGGGTAGGCAGAGAATATGGAACGCTTATTACTACGATTTTACATAATTCTTTCACAAAAAAGACCAAAACATTTTTTCTCATCATTACCTATGCACAAGTCAGTTACTCATTTGACATAAATAAAGAAATAAAACGTTTATTACCAGTACTCTGATTTGTCAGTAAAAATTACAATTCAATTAGAAATTATAATAAATTGTATTTTTAACCGACTTCAAAAAAGGAAGTTTTCAGGTTGATCTGTATGTATGTATGTTTGTGCGCGATTATAACTCGATTGGCAGAACCAATTCTGATGAATCAGAATCTGTTCGTTACATTTTGGAGATGACGGATCAGTTCATTCCACTTTGGAGAAGGGTTTGAAATCGGTTTTTAGCCCGTTGAAAATCGTTTCCTAAATTTGTTTATACAAAAGTAATCTTTGATGGTACTTTAGTATACTATATGGTATAAAGTGTTAAACGTAGTTTGCCATTGCCATTTCTATCTGATTTGAATATTCTAAAAATATATTATGCCCTATTACTAAAACAAAAACTATGGCCAAAGTTAAATTTTTCTGCCGCATCGTTATAGTGGTAGGTTGTATTTGTATGCTTTAGGTTAGATTTTAATATTTTATCATCAAACTATTTGCCAAATGTTTTCTTGCAGATAAACCACGAAAACTAGTTTTAAATACTCCTATCCAAAGGTAATCATTATTTTTAAGTGTGGCATCCCAAAAATCTTTTTGCAACCGCGAGCCCGGCGCGCGCATGTTTCGCTCTTTGCTATAAAATTCAGGAGTTTGCAATAAATAATGGCTTCGACTGTAAACTCGAAGCAAACAGCCGTAAACGGTGAATTACAGTCGAGTACACAACCGTGTCCGTGCGAAATACCTAAAATGGAAAATAAAGTTGCCGTTGTTTTGGGTGCTCAATGGGGTGACGAAGGAAAAGGAAAAGTTGTGGATTTATTGGCTGTTAACTGTGACATCGTGTGCCGTTGTCAGGTAAGACAAATCTTCTTGTTTTTCTAATTAGACTTGCGGTGTGTTGGTGTTCATTAAACTGGTGCTCCTTTTTAATAACTTCTCTCTCAGCTCGGACAGTTGGTCATTCATGGTTTTAGCTGCAGTGTTTATGACGGATATTTTGAGGTTATAATAAGCGAGAGAATTAGAGCTTCTAATAATTGATTTTACAGTGTTTTCATTACTTTTATCTACGTTATCATATTTCGGGATACTAAAACAGTTTATTTAGAAAGCCTTTAGTTTTGGCTGCGCGCCAGAATTTGTTTGAAAACATGTGAACTGTGAACACAATGTTTTTGTACGAATTCTTGATTATAAGACGCGTGCCAAGAGTCTTAGCGGGAATTTAGATCTGATGTGCGCTAGTTCAATGTTGCGTAAACTCGCCAGTTCCGGTCACTATTATGTAACAATATAATATACGGAGATTTTTGACTAATATTTTTAATAGTCATGTGACAGTAATGATGTACGTACATACATAGTAATTTGTATTCGTAAATAGACCTTGCGTAGCGCGGCTACTAATTGTGGATTATTGCCAAGGTCTGGGACATTTATTGTCATGGTTACTCTATGATTATTTCTAAATTCTCTCCTCTGTATTTTCTAGGGCTCTCTCTAAATATAAGTAGGTTGTTTTTAGAAATGTTTGACACTCCAAGGAGATTTTATTGTTTATAATCATAATAGCTAGACAGTCTAAGATTAATTCTTTGTAATCAGATATGGTTTGCACTTTGTACAATGTATTGTATTTATAGCATTTGAGTTTTATGATAAAAATCTTATTTAGCCAGTAGCAGTAGTTTTATAAATGAGTTTTCTTATTACACCGTTACCTAGTTATAACCTAACCTAGTTCTATTTGATTTTGTACATGAATAGGTACTTTAAAATTTCATGCGAAGTGGAATAGACACAACATGTTTTTTTTTTTAAATCTGCTTATTAGGTCAGAAAAAAGTTTTTATTAATAACCTTTGTTTCGCAGATATTGAAGGTGTTATAAGTTTATCAGGCACATGACTTAAACAAATTAACTTAGTCATAATATCTCATTTACAATCCAGTTTAAACAGGAACCAACTACATTGATGTTGTTATAAATTAATAATAATACTTATGTTAATTATATTCTACATGTCTGTGATTCTGCAGGTTTATTTTCATATCTAAACAGGTCTGCTTATTCTCCAAATATAGACACTATTATAGACAGATTTACAATCTAATACCTGCTTTTGCATCTCATCTGTATATTGTCATATATTGTACTGTAAAATTACCAAAGTCGAAACCTCAACTGCCCATTTATCATTTTTAACTTGAAAATTCCAAAAAACCATTAACACCAATCACTATTCTCCATTAATGCTATCACCATTTTGTACTTAGAACCCTTTTCCTTCTATTTACACACAAACTGGATATATCATGGTTTATCTGTTTGTTTAGAAATAGAACTATTGGGTAGATAAAATATGACTAGCAACAAAGGTGAATAACCTTAGTATATTTGGGTGATAATATAGGTAGGTAGACATATATTTTTATCTGTGAATTCTAGTGGATAGACGAAACTTTTACAATTACTAAAATAATAACACATCTTATTGGACAGAGGTAGATGCAAAAAGAACTGAATCAGATAATAAAAAAAAAATTAAATCAAAGTTTTCTAGAAAATGTTCTCAATTTAAACTCTAGCTTTTTACGCGCCAATTTTAATATTGATGCGAAATAAATTACGCGCGCAATCGATCGCGGAAGTCAGATATTATGATGATTGCAGTCACTATGTTTTGTTACGTAAAACTTCGATTAATTGCGAGTTCAAGTTCGATATTGCAATAACATTTTATGTTACTTTCGTTCAAATTACACGGTTACTATGTTAAATCAATATGACTGAGTGACTCAGTGGCTGACTGATTAGACAAATTACAGACTAAAGTACTGGGATAATGAATGTAGAAGTAAAAGACTAAAAAGTCAAAATGTAGCATTTGTGTTCCTTGAGGGATGTCTACAAAGACAGTGCTTCCCGTTAGAAGACTATTCTGCTCGTTTGTCGAAAAAAAGACAAAGAAAATTGGATTTCTGTGCAAATGCAAAATCGTTTAATCTAATATAAGTACCTGTAATGTTTTTAAAAAGAACCTCTGTGGAACGTTGTATTCTCTTTACACGTTTTTTATTTTAAGAAGGTCGTGCTATATGTAGACCGCGTCACAGGGGGTGGGGCAGAGGTGTGACTGCAGCAGTCACATGTTCAACTACTATATTTACGTCACGATAAATTAGTTTGTAAATTAGTCAAGGAACCGATGTATGTACTAATTATAGAAACTAATATTTTCGATCATTTTTTAATTTTTTTTTCTGACTAATGCTCATAGATAAAAAATAAAATATGATACGAAATCGTAAGCCCCGTGCTGAGCACGTGCAGAGTCGAGCAAAGAGCAAATTATGTAATTGAGGATAAATTGGATGTATCTATACTAAGAATATTTAATCAGCCTCAACATCAACTATCCTTAATACCAATGAATCAGAATCATGATGAATAACATGTACCATATGCAGCCAATCAGCATTCGTTTATCTCATTGCCAGTAACCAGTAACAGCCCGGATGGCTATATTATTAATTAAATAAGATTTAAAAACTAATAAAATTATTAGTAAAATACCACCAATCTCCATGTATACTGTACAGACATGACATAGTACCTACATCCGAACAGAATGATTAATTTATATGTATATGTATAGCAAACCCGCGACTTCGTCCGCGTGGAATAGTGATTCACAGCTCCTATCCAGTAGATGTTACCGTGATAATATGTTGAACCGACCTGATAGTAATATTCATTCAAAATTTGAAGTAAATCCATACAGTAGGTACTTTGAGTTTAACCCGGGCATACATACAAACAGACAAAAATTCTAAAAACCATATTTTTGGCTTCGATATTTAAGTATTCTAGATCACGCCTCAAACATTCTTTTAAAAAAATATTTCATGTACTCACTTTCCTACGATTTTATTATATGTATAGTATGTATATGGACCTTAAAAATAATTGCACTTATCAAACTTCACAGTTGTTACTATAGATAATATTAATTACCGATCTACTTACAAATTAAGTTGGTAGGTACTATAGTTATCTTAAAAATAAGGAAATTGAGTGTCAATATAAGAGATAAGTCAGTATAACATGAGTAGTGAAGGACTTCATTGAACGAATGTTTTCATTATCCAATTAAGATACATTCCCAATTTTAGAACCTAAATATTTAGATCAAATGTAACGATACCTGATAAAAGTGCTGGAACCAATAACTCCCAGACATGACCAAAATCTATTGGAAAAAGGAAAGCCTCTATTATTAAAATTCCCCATAAATGAGGATGATGACAGGGTATGAAAATTAAAAATATAATTAGTCCATAACTTGGGTAATAAAAAAATATTAGACACGTATTTTTTTAATTTTGTTGTATAATAAAACAATACTTAGATAAAACGAATCAAAGTTTAGGAGTGGGGGCTAAAACGTCATTTCTTAGTATAAAATGTACTGAGAAGTGACGTCACGCGACATTTCAAATCAATATATCTTCGAAACTATTCGTTTCCGTAAGAAAATAAAAAATACGTGTCTAATGTTTTTAAATAATCTACCAGACGGACATTAAAATAAAAATTAGTGTCTACCCCATTTCCGAAGTAGGTAATTCATAACAACAAGTTTGCAATGTCGTCGATATTTGATGTTAACTAATTATAATAATAACATACATAACAGAGATAAACGATAAACAAAAACATCCTCGATTTAAGAAATAATAACTTGATACTTACATTAAATTGCAATCAATTACCTAATATTCAAGGTTAATTAATTACTACACTGGTAAAGATTTTTGCGTAATTAGATAGGTAAGGCGAAATGAAAATAAACAACGTTAATGAATGAACTAATGTGAATCCAATCTTATTGTTATTCCGATTCGGAGTCGCGGAGAACCTAACGAGTTGTCGGGCCTCCGGCTCGAAGTACAGGAGTAGGAACGGGTCTGACACTCCCGCCTTACCCGGGCGGAAGAAATCATTAGATGATTTTCCCCCCTCAAAAAAAAAAACCTATACACTGTTATATTGTGAAATCGAAAAATATTTTTTTTCTCTAACTTTTATATTTCTGATCATAGTATGTTTCCTGAAAAGTTCTAGTAGGTCTTCCTTTAAGATAATATTCATAATACCCAATGCCTCTTTAAGTATACATAGAATAATTTCCCATCATTTAACTCGTCGAGTACCGGTTTTGTAGACACAATTATAAAACAATAGGTTGCGGTCTCCGGTGACCGCTTGGTGTTTGACAGTTTAAGAATGTTTAGTGAAGATATTATATAGGGATATTTCTAAACAATAATGCGAAGAACGATATCTAGGCTGTTTGATCACATAAAACATATTTAAAATAGTTCCCAGTTGTTCTTTGTATCAGTGTTTAGTTTGCCACGTATTTTTTATTGTAAACAGTCGGCGTAATTTGTATGTAGCTAACGGCTAACATCGGCCGTTGATTTAAAACGATTACAGCAGATGGTAATAATACACTGTAACGTAGGTGTTTGTGGTTTCGAAACCTTAAACTATTAACAAAACATATTTTAACTATCACATAGTTACTTTTCGTGTTCTTCTCGTCTCTCAATCATCAGATAAAATGATTTTGTTTGATCTCTGTCTGCTCCGACAATAGTTAAAATGTATTTATTGTTAAGGACTAAAGAAGAGTGCGTGTGATGCAATCGGCGCTTACATTGGGAGGCATTCCTTTCCAAAAAATTTTCAAACTAAATGTTTCTAACTTAAATTCATAGTTCCTGATGACTTGAGAGGTGGAGAAACCGCAACGAATAAAGAGAAAATATAAAATGTAGTCTTTTTTTTTTTTTTTTTTTTAAGGGGGGAAAATCATCGAATGACTGCCCCCGCCTGGGTGAGGCGGGAGGGAGTGTCAGACTCTTACTGACTAAAAACCACCCCGTTCCTTCTCCTGCACGTCGAGCCGGAGCCCCGGTTACCCGTTAGGTTCTCCGAGTATCTCATTCGTACATTTAATCAGTAGTTTGCAAAGCAAAAGTTTTGCAATTGTTTACAAACTAGACTGTTTACGTTTCACAATGTTGTGACAGATTGTGTTTATTTGGAGCGGACGCGAGACAATTAGAGAAATCTCTAATTTATTTGTAACAAGGTTGTAAGCTTTCTATTTTCTATTGTGCTTTAAATAGGTACATTACATACGTAAGATATTAATTGGGTATTAAATAACGTCTTGTACATAATCATCCATTAACCTATGTATAGTTGCCATCGTGAGAGCCCTTCATTGAGACAAAAACGCCATGCCATACGTTTAGTCACGCAACCATATCACAATGGTGCCTGCATAGAGACATCATATCAATCGCTAGGGTGTGGAGTTGCTCCTCGACCATTATTTAATCTGACAACCCTTCAAGAGCTATGTGGGAATTTATCGCCATTGCTTTTGTAAAAAACCTCTTACCTGGTGAGCCAGGTAAGCGATTTTTTAAACTGGGGTAAAGTTCAGACAACCGGCTTCAATATAACCATCTGTTCCAGTCAACTTAAAACTGACGCAAAACATGTTAAAATTATAGAAATCGTTGAAATACGTTAACGATAAGAAACACATGATCATTTTATTGACAAAAGCAATACGGAACATGTTCTGAACGAGTATGACTGTACGAGAGTTATCAGTAACAATTATAACTAACATGACCTTGAGAAAACCTTCATTGAACTAATCCCACAAGTAATGACTTCACATTCAATTATTGTTAAGCAATACCTCCTTGTTTTTTATTATCGGATGTTTTGGTGTCTCCCGTGATCTTTCTTCGTAGGTACCTACATATTCGATCAAATATTAGTCATCATACCTCTCAGTCGTGAATGACTTGAATGTTTACAGATTACTGATTATACTTCATGGTCGTAGACTTCATTGCATCAGATAAAAAAACTAGATGGGACAAGTTGGGACGATTCTTTTTCAGTCACAAGTGGTGCTCTCATTTTAGGTTTCATTGGACCGAACTCATAGACAATAATAGGCAATGATAGACTGGTAGTTAAATAGTATGACTTGTGGCAGTTCAGTCTAGTCCTAGTGTATTAAAATGACCATAAAACCGGTGACAGGCAGTCTGAGCCGGATAGTGCAGACAATATTTCCCAACTAATTAAGCGAAGGAAATAACGTTAAGTCAGAGTAAAAAAACTAACAGCCAGTCGAATCTAAGTATAGCTCCCATAATTTTGAAAACAATGAGATGATTTAATAAAATCGTCGCGTGGATTACCTTGATACAGGCTTGACAAAAAACCATTGTAAAGAAACTTAACTCCAACGATAAATCGCTTTAATTACTTGAAGACGTCCTAATAAAAAAGCGAGATAATGCGATATGGCGTTTAGATTTAGTCTTATGACTATTTATGAAGCACAAAAGAGGTAAAACCAGTTATTATGGCACCATTTTGCGAGCAGAACTCTTCTATCTATGGAATACAATGGCCATAGTCATCGATATTACCCACTGTCTGTAGTCTAAACCTGTAAGTTTCCTGTAGGTGTTATATATTTCGTTGTATACCTAATAAAATTATAGTTATGAATTATAAGGTTATGACCACCGAAAAACGGCTTTTAGTTTCACCACTGTTAGCATAACTATCTGTGTATTAAATTGTGTCCCAAATATTAATTTTATCTGACCTCGTAGATACGGATATTTTCCCTCGACTTTTTTCCTGTCACAATGTCTACATTTTTTCTTTGCCCGTGACCTATATGCGTCCTAGCCGAAATAGCATCGTGTGACAATGATGACAGATAAGTGTTTTTTGAATGAACACACGTACAGTTTCAAGATCACCTACGAGTGTCTTGTCATCGGAGACAATGTGCCAAAAGTCATGAAAAACACTTCAACGAGAGAATATTTTTTTATTAACTAGTTTCCTGGCATCACTTTCGGAAGGGCCGTGTGGGATGTATTGTGTAATGTACATGTTATTCGTTTTCATTCAAGTCTTAGTAGATATGTAGATAAATTGATTTAGAGCACAGGAAAATATTCAAGATATGAAATAGTCTCTCAATATTTCCTGAAGCAGTATCATGAAAACCTATGAAAATGGAAGACCTTTACCAATGCCCTATTATATCTGGTTCCTCTTTCTGAAATGTACAAATTTTGTTCGGCATGCTTTGAAATCATATCCGAAAATGTATTTGCATACAACTTAATGACCGTATAACGTCATTTATGCCGATTGTAAAATTTTTACGTCATCTATAGTGGAAAATCTTGAAATGACGGCATGGCCCCGATGGCGCGGCGTGGTCTGAAGGCAAATAACATCACTCAGTTTGCTTTGTAAGTCAAACGATCAAAATTTAGAAATAGCTCACTGTACGATAAGGTCTTGTACACTTTCACAGTTCTGTGTGCACAGAACATTAAAGTACACTTAAAATCTACCCCAAAAATGATTACATAACACTTTCTAAAGCAAAAAGTAACATTAATACAGGCTTTGTTCCTCATTCAGGATTAAGGCCATAAAGTCCCTATAACAAGAACGCCCACGGCACAGAAATCAGATAACCTTTGAAACATTTAAATACCATTGACTTGTAAAGGTCAAAGAGCAATCAATCCCTAGGCTTAATACCCGTTCCAGATTTTATTATCACCTTCCATTGTGTGCTGGAATGTCCTAATCATGGTAGTGAATCCCAATGAGATTAGGTAAAGAGATAGACTGATGTACAGATATTTTTTTTTCAGTATTTTGATCTTTGTATGCACCGATTTGGTCAAGACAGTCCTTAGCGGTAAAATAGTTTTTCAATCGGATTGCGCTAGTTAAGTACTTGCAACAATATTGCGCAAACTGAGACAAGGATAGATCTGTTATGGATTATTGTTTTGTCGGAGCTATAATAATCCGATAAGCCGGCTATGTATTGTATATATTAGGTCATTACAGAAGTATTAAGTATGGAATTAAATGGTATAATTAATTACATTGAAATTGCAGAAAGAATAATTTGTGATCTGTTGGAGACTTCTTTGTTCGTTTTATAATAACTACACGATATTTCGCAGTTATCTTTTTATCTGAGACCTACTACATTAGTACGCCAGTCCACCATTGCTCACAATCTGAAATTATTGTCCCCAGGGTGGTAACAATGCTGGACACACCGTAGTCGTCGACGGCAAGGAGTTCGATTTCCACTTACTACCAAGTGGTATCATCAATCCGAAATGTATCTCCCTTATTGGTAAGTTCGTGTTTTGTAACCTTCATAATTACCTATTTATCATAATCATCTTCATCAGCCGAAAGACGTCCTCTGCTGGACAAAGGCATCCTTTTTATCCTCCACGTCGAACGACTCCTCGCAGTGGTTCTCCGCAACTCTGATACTTATTTTAACATTAAGAAATTATAAACCCACCTTATATAAAAGTATGGGATTTTTCTCTTGTATGAATACAAGGTTATCCACCAGATATTATATCACAGTATAGGCCTAAAACCAGCATTATAAAAACAGTGTTCTGTCATTTATCAAGCATTTCCTTTCAGAATACATTATCTTTTAAAGCTTTTCAAATTATGTGACCTAGAAGAAGTTGATAAAGAAATTACGATAAAATAGCATTAGTGCTCAAAATGGCTAAATGTTTCGCGTTAGTGCACGAACGTTTTATTTAGCTTATTCATAGATCAAGAAGCACGGCATGAAATGATTGAATTACTATAACTGTACACTTTTTTGACTGCCTCTGCTCTGGTGATTTTCAAGACGAGTCATTAGTATACCTACGAATTCTAGTTCGCCTGCTGCCAATTCGCCAGTGTCACACATGGTTCATAGTTGACATGATTAAGTCATTTGGTTAATAACCATGGCGTTACGGGAATTAAGACTTGTTTGTGCCTGTTAGCAGTTATTCTCTAGAAAAAGTCCTTCAACGCAATGAAAGCATAAAATGAGATTACTCGCTGAATAGTGGCATAATTCTAGAATTTCACATTTAATTATTTTTTTTTTTAAATTAGACTCTATTACACATTGTCGAAGGCCAGAATTGTGTTATTTACAACTGCATAGAATCTAATCTTATTCTCGTAAAGTAATAACAAGGTCATCAAGTTGAATAAAAAATCCTTACAATAATACTTGTGAGGCGTGGCGCACTAGTGATAATTGACTGATAACAGTATGCTATCTAACGACTATCCTTGAACGATTGCCAAAAGCTTGCATCATTGTAGTAAACTAAATCTTTCCCCCGACCTGAACCCGCGTCCATAGACTTAGGTTTTTTAAAATAGCATAAAACCTTCCTAGATGCCAAGAGCTGAAGATAGAGCTCAGTAGCGTTCTATTGGACATGCCTATTTATTGATTTATTTACTAGCTGACCAGGCAAACTTCGTACCGCGTTAAAACTTTCTTCTCGTCTTTTAAACCTTCCCTGGTAGGCCACGAACATTTCAACCAAAATTAGTCATATCGTTTCAGCTGTCCTCGAGTTTTAGACGGACTAACAAACAGAAATTGATTTTTATTTATAGATAGAAGATATAATTATATCTATGAGTAGAAAGGTACAAAAAAACCAATTACACTACTCAATAAATATACTATTGAAAGAAAGAATACAACCCATGTTCAGAAATTCTGCGTCTAACTTTATTAGGGAATTGGAAGAAAAGAGTTGGGTATTTTATTATCTAAAAATGGCATCCGGTCCTAAGGTTGATTGATCGGAGTCGCGGAGAACTTAACGGGTTGCACGGCTCGAAGTTCAGGAGTAGGAACGGGGTGGTTTTTAGTCAGTAAGATTCTGACACTTCGGCATCGTATAGCATAAGCCGGTAAACGATCAGACGGATCACCTGATGGTAAGCAATCGGCGTCGCCCATGGACACCTGGAACACCAGAGGCATTACAAGTGCGTTACCGGCCTTTTGGGAATTAGGAGTTTGAGGATTGTTGGGGATTCAGGGATTGGGGAGATTGGGGAAAGGGAGGGTAATTGGGCCTCCGGTAACCTCACTCACACGACGAAACACAACGCAAGCGTTGCTTCACATCGGTTTTCTGTGAGGCCGTGGTATCACTCCGGTCAAGCCGGCCCATTCGTACCGAAGCATGGCTCTCCCACACTTAAACTTCTTACGTATCTTAAAAGAAACTCACTACGTAGTTACATTTATGAATGTTACAGCAGATTTTTATAGTTAACCTTTACACTTGTCGCGGAGAACCTAACGGGTAACCGGGGTTCCGGCTCGACGTGCAGGAGAAGGAACGGGGTGGTTTTTAGTCAGTAAGAGTCTGACACTCCCTCCCGCCTCACCCAGGCGGGGGCAGTCATTTGATGATTTTCCCCCCTTAAAAAAAAAACCTTTACACTTGAATTCTGTCACAAAACATGAAATAAAAACATTGTACAGTTAGCATGTCAAACGATAAACAATTTGACTAACTTGTATCAAACGACACGCTAATGTAACATGAAAAAAGTACAACAAAACTTGTGACATCGTTAATCCAACTGTACCAGGTACGGTTTGCAGAATCATTGTATTAATAGGTTTATATAACGAGTAATTTATTGTCAAGGTTAAGGTATGCACGAAGATGTTTAGCTTTATTCTGCTGACGTTACTTTGTTGGTGTATTGAATTTGTTATGGCATGCTATGAGATCAACAAATACACAATTTATTTGTTAGTCATTGATGACTTTTTCTTAGTATTAGAATACATGTCTGAGTAGATTGAATAGTTTGTCAGTTGTGACAGCCCATACTTTTCCCGCGGTCATCCGTAAGAGCCGACGGAGACCAGGGTGCTTACTTGTGAAACCAACCTCAATTTCAATGCAATTTCAATCTCAATAATTATTCAATGTCAACACTACCTCACCTGAATCGTAGCTGTTACAATAGCATTTAGAGTACGGAATATAAAGATTGACTGCACGGTTGGTGCGGTGGCTGGGCAACCGGCTGCCGTGCAACGTGTCGCGGGTTCGATTCCCGCACGGAACAACACTTTGTGTGATCCACAAATTGTTGTTTCGGGTCTGAGTGTCATTGTGTATGTGAACTTGTATGTTTGTAAACGCACCCACGACACAAGATGACAGGAGAGAATCCTAATGTGGGACAACGTTTTTTTTTAAAAAAACAGCCAAACTCAATACCATTTAGTTCATTAAATATCCACGCAATTCGGATGCAATGGGCGCTACTGTTACAACTTTTAGTACGAGATTTTACAATACCAATGTCGATCGATCGGAATTGGATTCAAGAGTAGGTAGCAGGCATCAGCGTTCTCTAACGATCTTGAACCTTTAAAACTCCAACGAGCTTGGATACTGTGTAGACTATAGTCCAGCACTGAATTAAAACGAGCTGTTGATGTAATGTGGTACTCCAATGCTGCCTCTTATTCTCGGGTTATCCCTTTCCCTTTCCATCAGATCACCACGGATGAGGCCCAATAGGGTTGATGCCAACACGGAGCCGTGGAGAACGCTCCGTGTCGGCTCCGGCTCGAAGTGCAGGAGTAAGAACGGGCGGGTTTTTAGTCAGTAAGAGTCTGACACTCCCTCCCGCCTCACCTAGCCGGGAGAAGTAATTCGATGATTTACCCCCCTTAAAAAATCATTTCTCTTCGAGAGTCCAATTACATCTCTTCAACAAAAAACACGTGCGCAATTCAATATTATATATTAATTATTGTGGCTAACGTAAAGTCTGATTACTTAGTTATTGTTTTAATTCACAACATAAATTATTTTAATTTAACCATTGTTGAGCGTCTCAAATTCAATTTAACTCAAGGTCTCCGTCTCTCTGTATGCTAATATGAATTTTTAATAGTCATAGTTCCATTATAAAGTTTTTACTCATAGACTAGCAACGAGTAGACCTTTCGGACTTAGCAAATAGAATTATATTGTACCATACATACATAACTTCACGCCTGTCTCCCACGTGGGTATCCAGAGACTATAAACGCCAATTACTACTCATTCTTACATACTTCTTTCGCTTCGTCCACAGTTATCAGTCTTTTCATGCATGCTCGTCGGTTAAGGGGACTTTTAATTTGGCCCTTCTTTAATATATTACTAATCTGGTCTACCGACGGCCCTATCGGTTTGTATACTTGTTTCGGTACTTAACTTTCATCAATCCTTTCTTGTCCAAACCAGCGTAACATTCCCTTTTCAATCTTTGTCACTACATCGTCTTTCAATCCACACTTTTCTATAATAACACTATGTTTCACTCGATAACTCTGTTTTACTCCACGCACACACACACCTATCAGTTATTAGTATCTTGATGATCTTGTGCTAACGTTAAAAATCCGAAGAAGCGTCAAACTCTGCTATGAAGTCTGGTCTTTTCTTGAAATAAGTTTTGATTCATTTTTGCCCTTTTATATTAATCGCCCTTGCAAGAGAATATGATTATAGATAGACAATCAAATAATTAGTTAATATTTTTCTACAGGCAACGGCGTGGTTATCCACCTCCCTGGACTCTTCGAAGAGTTGAAGAAGAACGAGTTGAAAGGCATGAAGGGCTGGCAGGACAGACTGATCATATCAGACAGAGCTCACCTCGTCTTCGACATGCACCAACAGGTAACGCCTTTTAATGGTCAAAGCGACTGCTATACTTAAGAGCAAATAAACTGAGCCATTAGCGTTTTTTTTAATTTTATCGAACTCTCTATATCTTTTAAAATAATTATTCCAAGGAGTCACATACGACTCACGATGAACTTTTAGAATAAGTCACATGTGACTCATTTTTGGTACAAGTTTGGGGTGTATTATTGATATGAGCGTGGCAACAAATTCTAAAAAAACTACGTGGACGTGTAGCAAAAAACCTGACCTTTAAAAAAACAATGGACGTGTAGTAATTGTAAATTTTATTGTATAGGGACAGTTAATTTGTAGGTAACTAAATTTACCTTTATACGATACGACATCGTATCTTACCAATTAATAAAATACTTGCATAAGAAAACATTTATCAAAAAAAAAGTAAAAAGTAGTGGCTCTGTGTTTTTTGCTCCCAAGTATATTTTCATGGTATTTAGAGCTTTTTGGGTACAAATATTATATATTTTTTCGTTTAAACATACGTGCGTGGAAATCCGCAGATAAACTGAATTTTATCTCCAATAGTAGGCACATCATGCACTACGCTACATCATGGCTGTAATTTATAATCAACTAGCGACCCGCCCCGGCTTCGCACGGGTGCAATATGCATGTATATATACAAACCTTCTTTAAGAATCATTCGATCTATTAAAAAAAACCGCATCAAAATCCGTTGCGTAGTTTTAAAGATCGAAGGATACATAGAGACAGACAGACGGCGGATAGCGACTTGGTTTTATACTATGTAGTGATGGTAATTATACATTAAACATAATTACATGTGACGAAATTTGTGTGACTAAAGTTTATTATAATTATGTAAGTAATTAGTCACCTTGTTAAGCAAATTGCAAATTATTCCTTCATGATTGATTCGATTTATTTATCAGATTCTTTAATAAAAACGTAATAAACTGATAAAGATTTGCGTGTTCAATTTGCCTTGGTTATATTACTTGTTATTTTTGAATCGATAGCTTGAAATGCAGTAAATTCGTAAAGGTAAATTGACTATAGTATTAATTGGCTTCATTAATGTTCAAAGACTTGTTATTTTTTTACCTTGTACTTTAATTTTTCTGGCTGAAGAAATAAGACGCTCATTCAGTTCGAAAGTGACCGTCACAGAGACAAAGAAGCGTGTGCGGGCATGTATTCATCATAGGAAAGGTCACTTTGAACAAAATTTTGTAAATATTGATGTTTTTGAAATTGCGCGTTTTTACAATTAACTTATCATCAAGTTATGAATTCAGTTTTGGAAATTTTATCAATAATTTAGTATTTTTGAGTAGCTAATAAACTAAGGAAGTTTTTCTAATGGTTTATACGCTTAGTGTAATATAAATTTTTTAAGCTAACTGCAGTTTTCTATTGACCAAGGTAGTGACTAACTTCTATGTAGTTATAGTAAGTTATTAATGTTTTTCTCAATTAATATTATTTGTTCAATCAATTAATAGATATTACTAAGAAGGACCATAGTCAACCGTTAATATAATTCTAGTGGCTGGTATGATGACGATGGTGATTAACAAGATAGTTAAATATTACGGTAAAATCTCAGGAGCGGTCAATAAATCATTTTTAATAACGTAATTGGTTATCTGTGGCGTAGTGATTAATTGGGTATTTGCTTTAAGCAAAAATAAATTATTTAATGTCTTGTGTAATGAATTACTGATTTAGATTACTGTTGTTTGCAAGGTGTATTATATGGTTTTATTGGTGTTTATTTAGATTTACCTATCTACTATAGAAATGCCACTGCTTATGTTAACTTATATGTATGCATTATAAACTATGTATTTTTTGGTCTACCTAGCAATTGTGATTGTGATTTCCATGTATGCATTATTATTTCGACTGTTCAATACAATATTAAAAAATAATCACACTTTCATTAATTGATTTTATGACTAACTTAATTTTAGTATTTTTCCAGATTTTTTTTAAGAAATTAATATGCTGTTTGACGATAAAAACACGTGACGTCACAATACACAATCTCGTACAAAATTCATATAAAAATGTCGTTTTTGACAGTACGAAAAAAGTATTGAATTTGACTAGTTGGCGAGTATCCAATTAGGTATAGCTCTACTCACTTTACGGTAGGCTCTAGATATGTACAAATAGCAAAACAAAACTCCTAGAAATATTAAAAAACAACACACAAGGTATTAGATATTATAAGGTTTTAAATAAATAAACACAATATACTCCTTCTAAAGTTCTGAGTAGCGACTCAGTATAGGGCGGAAGGCAAATAATGTATGTAAAGACAAAAGCCTCTTATTGTGTGCAAAGAGCGACCACAGTTTCATTGTGCTAATACGGTATCAAAGTTAACAAAGATTTATTATATGCCCCAGGATATTTACCATTATGTGTGTTCAATCCAGAACATAATGGTTCTGGATTGTACTGAGTACCGAACATTTACTGGTGTAAATAATTGCGATTGTAACTCGGGCGGTTCCCGTTTATGATATCCTAGTAACATTATTAAAAGGAAGTTGATAAGTACAATTGACTGTATGTTCTTTATTTCGAGAATCCTGACTGTTTTAGTAGTACTGAGTAGGTTTTTATAACCAGATGAAAAGAGGTACCTACCGATTCACATTTCCATAATAAAAATAAGACCAAATACTTACTTTTTTATGGGATGACGTAAACGAGCAGACTGATCACCTGATGGTAAGCAATCGGCGTCGCCCATGGATACCCGGAACACCAGAAGCGTTACAAGTGCGTTACCGGCCTTTTGGGGATTAGGAATTTAAAGATTGGGGAGTGGGGTAACTCGGCCTCCGGTAACCTCACTCACACGACGAAACACAACGCAAGCGTTGTTTCACGTCGGTTTTCTGTTAGGCCGAGCCAAGCATGGCTCTCCCACACTGACTTAACTAATAACATTAGAAAAATCTTTCAGCAAATATCGATAATGGAAAATAGTTTTACTTCAGTATTAAGCACTTGAAAGAGGCCTTAATCACAGAAAATGCAAACGCGTGACATGTGACGCGTGCGCATAATAATTGCGCGAGAATGCTGTGACGTCACCCACGGTCAAGGAGGCCCGAGCCGTGCATCGCTTGTGGCTTACTATATTTTATTACGTTATAAAATTGTAATAAAGAGAGATTGAAAGAGACAATTGAATACAGTGGTTCTTTATTTGTTATGTATTTTATATAATGTGTATTTAATTTATGACTGATTGTTCTTGCGGTTTTCTTAGTGTTTTTTTTTTATTCATAAATAGCTCAAATCTGTCCATTATCATGTTTTAATTTGTGAATTAAAATACTTTGTCTAGTATTTTCAATAATAACTCTTTGTTCCAAGGCAGTTCCGCCTATTCCCACTGGGAGATCCCAGTATATCCTAGATAGTCATATGACAGGCGTTATAATTTTTTTTTGATACGTATAACTACTTCCGCGCAATTTCACTGACTCTGCTCGGCTTCTATTGGTCGAAACGTGATGTTTTATAGTCTATCATTCCTTGATAAATGTTTTATTCAACACAAAAATACTATTCAATTTGAACCAGTGGTTTTGGAGATTAGCACGTTTAAACAAACTCTTCAGCTTGATACAATAAGTAATCTATAAGTATTACTGGGTTTAAAAAAAACTCAATAGTAGCACGGAGTCTGGGATTGTGCCCTGTATATGGCAATAGGTTCACCACCTTTTAAATGCGACTCATAACATAAATAGTGAAATGTGGGTGTTGCATTGTAAAGTGCCATAATGTGCCCCTCTGCTTACCCCTTCGGGGATAAAAGGCGTGTTATGTTATGCTATAAGTTTCAGTTCATAGAAACAAGTACCGATCTATTTGCTATCAGCCACCACGCATCATATATCTGCATACATTACTCGTATACTTATGTGTCTACGTATATGGAGATGATAATACCACAGTTATGACAAGTGTGCTAATGAGGATATTATTATTAGTTATCTATTTCTATGTATGTATATGAGATAGTGACTAAACGATTATAGAATGTAGCTACTTATGTATAAGTTAGTTAGTTGCGAGCCAACTATAATGTAAGTAATTATTCTTTGGCAATATTTACGAATTTACAACTGAATAGTTGACAAAATTCTCGTCTTTTTGTTTACTATTAAGGTATTATGGTATGAGTATGTAATGGGTATTCCCTGTATTGCACGGATTACTATCTGTCTGATATAATAATGAATGAACATGTAAACATTTTTATCTAGAACGATATGACGTCACATATTGCAAACAAATTCATGTAAACGTTTATTATTGACAAAAATAAACCATGATTTTTAAAGCAGTTTGTCAATGAAAAGTATCCAATCACCGTAAATTGTACTTTTTCAACTAGACACTAAGGTTTAATTTTTCGTTGTTCCAGGTGGATGGTCTTCAAGAGGCTGAGAAGGGCAAGAACTCGTTAGGTACCACAAAGAAGGGCATTGGTCCAACTTACTCGTCTAAGGCCACCCGTAATGGACTGCGGATAGGAGACCTACTCGGTGACTCCGCTATGTTTGAGGAGAAGTAAGTTTGTCTTTTGAAAGATTATTTGTCCCACTTGACTTATCACCGTTTAGCAGGGTCGTCTTCTACGCTGGCGACCTTGTGCAAACAATGATTCGGGTCCCTTTTGGAATGTTTGTTTTTGCTTTGCATTGCAACATTTGCCCCACGCTAGGATTTTCTCCTGTATCGTGGGTGCATTTACAAACATAGATTCAGACTCGAAACAACAATTTGCAGAGCATACAAAGATTTGCTCCGTGCGGGAATCCAACCAAATGTGTAGAGGGTGTGTGTCCGTCGCAGATATTGTCGGTCCTTCGTGGTTCCCTGAGCATAGGGACCTTGGGCATGAGCCCCGAGTGCCTTTATGGTAAAGACGGTACTGCTGTTTAGTCACCCATGTGGTGAAGATAATGTAGAATGCATTTGTTACTACACTTACTCTCCCTGCCGAGACACCCTCTTACGAAAAGAGAACCGAATAAAGAATTACTTGTTTGATCGGGTAACACTACTCTTTGCTAAAAATTTCAGTTCGAAATTTTAAAACACAATGTTCAATACATCACTCCCTATTCCAGGTTCCGCACTCTAGCAGCTAACTACAAGAGAATGTTCCCATCTCTCGAAGTAGACATTGATGGTGAACTGGCTCGCTATCGTGAGTACGCTGAGAAGATCAGGCCTATGGTCAGAGACACCGTCTCCTATCTCCACAAGGCCATCGGGGAAGGAAAGAAAGTATTGGTCGAAGGAGCTAACGCTGCTATGTTGGATATAGATTTTGGTAAGAAAGATTTTTTCTGTTTCCTCTTTGTTTAGGGCGATCGTCATATGATGAAATGATTCCTCCCGTCCCTGGCGAAGCCTGAGGCAGTGTTACACTCTTATTGACTAAAAACCATACTGTTCTAACTTCAGTCTGTCCCTCTACTCTCAGACAACGTCCTTCCTCATACGAATGAATGAGCATTCAGAGCATCAATCACCACGTTTTTTTGAGAAAGATTGGCAATTCGAACACCTCTTTCATAAATTGAAAGCATGCATAAGTTAAGTCTTAATATCTGTTACATTTACTGTTGCACAACTCTGCATCACCCCATGTTTAACTGTAAAAGAATGCCATCCGGCATTAAGTCCGCCATCGTATGTTATACAGAAGTGTAAATAAATAAATAAATAATGAAAGACAATATCACATGTCTAATGTATCTCAATCATGCCAAACAAAAAACACTATTATTACGCAACATAACATAACATCACGCCTTTTATCCCTCGAAAGAGTAGGCAGACGTGTACATTTTGCCATTATACAATGTAACACCCACTTTTCACTATTTATGTTATGAGTCCCATGTAATGAGGGGTGAACCTATTGCCATATACCGGGCATAATTCCAGACTCCATCCTACTACTGAGATTTTTTTTTTAAACCAGTAACACTTTGCCTGAACACGAACCCGAGACCCCTTGCCCGGCAGTCGTACTTGCGACCACTCGGCCAACGAGGCAGCACTATTACGCAACTAGTATCATAATCATAAAGATTATTATTATAAATCTTATCTAAATCAACGCAATTAATCCCGATTATCCACGTTCAAACCTTTGCGTGGATCATGCGTCCAAATGATAATATTATCACTTATCATCCACTCATACAGTTGACATGTGTTGGTGTAGTAATTGGAAACGTACATAATTTGTAAAATAAACATAATTACTTGATATTGCGCTTTGGCTCTTTATGTAATAGAATTGGGTAGATTCCAGGGTATCAAAATTATGAATCTAATTAGTCCGTCAGTTAGATAATGAAAAAATATTATACACGTATTTTTTTTATTTTCTCGTATTAAGTTGCAATACTTAGACAAAGGTTTTACGTCATAACGTGCTACAAAATGTGACACGCTGTGACGTCACACGATATTTCAATTTAATGTGTCGTCGAAAGTATTTAATTTTGTGAGAAAAGAAAAAATACGTGTCTAATGTTTTAAATTAATGTACCAGACGGACATTAAAATAAAATTTAGGAAACTACCCTACTATTTCTTGTTGGTTATCTTACTAATTCGACATGGACATGCACGTGACGATAATGTTTTTTTTTTCTGAGAATTTTCAATACAATATGTGTTTGTTGTTTAATTGGTTCGTTTTCAGTAGTTATACCTAATATGAAATGGTTTTCAAATCAATGAAACTTAAATATTAAGATGAAGGTAAGGAGCGAATACTGAAAACACAATTTGTTTCATCATAATTAGTTTTAAAACGGATCTGTTATTAAAGATACGATTTTTTCTAAAGAAAATGTAAGGTCATTGACCATAATACCTAACTATAGTTTGTGTATTACGTTACAGGTACCTACCCGTACGTGACGTCATCAAACTGCAGTATCGGTGGAGTGTGTACCGGCCTGGGCCTGTCTCCGCGCGTCATCGGCGACGTGCTCGGCGTCGTGAAGGCGTATACGACACGTGTTGGCGACGGACCCTTCCCTACTGAGTTGCATGATGTTAGTATTAGAGCCTTCTTCTTTTTTACTATGTTGTACTTCTGTTGAGTTGGTAGCAATCAGACCAAGACGAGGATGCTTGATTTACCATTTTCAAAAAACATTTTCTTTGTTTGATTTATGAACATGATAAAAAAGTGACATACATGACCAAGTTATTGATCAGTGGATCGTGAGGAACCAACTAGATTGAGGCGGTTGTACAAATGCATGTAACATAATTGTTTAAAGTAACAAAAAGAGGGTTTTTTTTTTAAGAGGGGAAAATCATCGAATGGCTGCTCCCGCCAGGGTGAGGCGGGAGGGAGTGTCAGACTCTTACTGACTAAAAACCACCCTGTTCCTTCTCCTGCACGTCGAGCCGGAGCCCCGGTTCCCCGTTAGGTTCTCCCCGATAGCAAAAAGAGGGATAGAGTGGTTGCCAAGATGAGTTTCATGTCCAAACCGGCCAAATTATTGTTGAAATTGTCAAGGCATGTATTGTAAAAATACCTTTTTTTGAAGTCAGTCAATTAAAGCATGTGCATTCGTCCCCAGGATACAGGCAAACTGCTACAGGAGCGCGGTCACGAGGTGGGAGTGACGACGAAGCGCGTGCGGCGCTGTGGCTGGCTCGACCTCGTCGTCGTGCGGTACACCGCCATGGTCAACGGGTACACCTCGTGAGTATTACTGTATTATTCGTTAAAAACGAAAATTTTGTTTAGTTGATTTACTACAACATCAACATAACATTACACCTTTCTTCAGGGGTAGGCAGAGGTGCACATTATGGCACTTAATGCCACTGTGTAACGCCCACTTTTCACTATTTTATGAGTCCCATGTAATAGGGGGTTGAGATTTCACATTTCCAGACTACGTGCTACCAATGAGAATTTTTTTAAAGGTTTGCTATTAGGTAATAATGCATCATCACCATCATATATCAGACAAAAGTGGCAAGAAGTCCACTGTTGAACTACCCCCTATTGTCTTCCAGTGACCCCCATACCACTATTGCTATTCTCGTGGCTGTCGTAAGACAGACTTGGGAACAATTCAAAGAGACCAGACAGCAGTGACCTCTTATTTTCATTTTTTTTTAAGATTTTCGGTTTTTCAGTTAATTTAATATGTCTCACGATAGTTATTATAAAAAGAATGTGAATATTTCAGGCTATGTCTCACAAAGATGGACATCCTAGACACGTTGCAGGAGATCAAGATCGGCGTAGCGTACAAGCTGAACGGCAAGAAGATTGAATACTTCCCTTCGTCGATGACCGAGCTCAGCAATGTGGAGGTAAGGAATTTCTTATTGAACTTCATGGCTTTGAGAACTAAACCGGCAAATTCAGTAGATCTTCTACATCAGAATAGGTTTGATGGCATGCTGTTTAAATTTTCGCATAATAACTTGTTGGCACTAACAGAATTTAAGATTTCATGGTGCTCAAGTGTGCTTTTGAAGAGTCTGTTTTTTATTTATTAAGCCGTTGCCCGCGACTACGTCGGCGTTGAATATGAATTTTAGGACAAACTTATTTTTGTTTCTATTTTCCAAAATAAGTAGCCTATGTTACTCGTCAGTACATCAGCTACCTGCCAGTAAAACTCCCGTCAAAATTAGTCCAGCCATTTCTGAGATTAAACTGTACAAACAGACAGACAGACAAAAATTAAAAAGAATATTGTTTTGGTATATGTATCGCATGTATTAAAAATGGCATTTGGCTACAGCTGCAGTATAGATTGAGATATCCTCCTTGCTATTAATGGATTTACCCTCGTATAGGTGCCGCTGCGAAAAGTAAAAGCGCTAAGAAAAGTATTCCATCTTTAGTACTTAAAGTATAGACATTTAACATAAAATTTTCCTTTAAAATAACAGTTATCGTTCCTGAGACATTCATATAAATGTTCATTATGATCACCCAGGTGGAGTACATCACGTTACCTGGATGGGCGTGCAGTATAGAAGACGTGCGGGAACTGAGCAAGCTGCCTGAACAAGCCAGGAACTACGTGAAGGCCATCGAGAACTTCCTACAAATACCTGGTCAGTAACCATATAAAAAAATACCTACATAATTGGGTATACATTTCTATAAATTTTGTATGAGATTGTGTATTGTGACGTCATGTTTTTTAGCGTCAAACAGCACTTATTTTTATTAAAAATTGCTGGAAAAATACTAAAATTAAGTTAGTCAAAAAATCAAGTAATGAAATTATTTTTTAATATTTTATTGTATTGAACAGTCGAAATAATTATTTTTTATTAAGGCAAGTACCCCATTATGTCGGTAACTTGATATGGGCATGTCATTACCAATGTGTGGCTGATGTATGTGACTGTATGATTGACATAGTCGCTAGGCAACCAGCTATAACGCGAAGTGTGCGTGTCGATTACCTCACGGGACAACTCTTTGACAACAAATTGTAAACTGCCATTGTCAATCTGTAGACTCCAAATCCTCTTGGACAATGCAGAGTTCTATAAAAATGCTATTTTAAAATCTTTCAAACACTGCATAGTATAAAACATAATCGCTATCCGCCGTCTGTCTGTCCCTATGTATGCTTAGATCTTAAAAACTACTCAACGGATTTTGATGTGGTTTTTTTAATAGATAGAGTAATTCTTAAAGAAGGTTTATATGTATAATACATGCATATTGCATCACTACATAGTATAATCAAAGTCGCTATCCGCCGTCTGTTTGTCCCTATGTATGCTAAAATCTTTAAAACTTAGCAACGGATATTTCTTAATAGATAGCGAGATTCTTAAGGAAGGTTTATATGTATAATATAGCATATTGCACCCGTGCGAAGCCGGGCGCGTCTTAGTAAATAAAATTATGTAACACAAGTAGACACAAGAAAACTGAAATCATATGTAGTTAGCATTGATCCCTGTATTCTTATCCTGGCATAGTTCCAACTAAACAATTTTAATCTTAGATAAATTGTATAAAGTGATTTGCAAGCTTCGCAGAAAGTATAGACAGATTCAAATTAACAGACTTGCGTGTGTATATGTAAACAAGATATTTTTACAAGCAATGGTGTGTTATAAATAGGAAAACGATTTATTTTAATGTTTATTTATGAATGAGTGTGTGAATTGACTGGAAGTCTGACTGAATGCTGTTTTATATTTTATTTTATAAGTATAGAAACCCTGTTCTATTTCTAAATGTTGTTTGTCGTTGCATAATGACTATAACATTTCTCAAGTATAGAACTAGCGAATGATTTTTTTTAATTCAAATAACATAACATAACATCACGTCTTTTATCTTCGAAGGGGTAGGCAGAGGTGCACATTATGCCACTTTACAATGTAACACCCACTTTTCACTGTTTATGTTATGAGTCCCATGTAATAGGGGGTGAGCCTAATTCAAATACTTTTTCATTTTTGTTATATCGAATACTGGACCAAAACAAAAATGTTCGTCCTCCTATCGTAATCCTAATATTTCTTAAATAACCTCTATTTCTATAAAAATAAAACTCAAAATTCTCTTTACAGTTAAATTCATCGGCGTGGGCCAAGGCCGGGAATCCATCATCAGCACGGATGAAGCTTAACGTTGAAGCGGTACTCGCCACCTAGTGTCACTAGCGTATATATTGTTGTTACTTTATAAGTAAGGCACGGGCTGTGAGAGTTACGTCTTTGTTGCGCTCATAACACGTAATAGTAACATTTCAATGCTTGAAACGTTTATCTAAAACTTTTCATTACCTATGTTTTCAGTTCTTAAGACAGTGATAATGCTGTTGCCGAACGGAATCCAAAATCTAAGGATTTTATCGATTTTTTACATTAGATGTATGGATTTCCTGCCGAAAACAGATGGATTCAGGTATTTTGGATCGGTTCCAGAAATCTCGTAATAAATCTTTGAAAAATTTGAGTTTGCTATTGTTATGTGATGAGCGCAAAAGAGACCGAATTCCCATAGCTCCTTGCTGGCTTACCTAACAGTTGTTTAATCAGGCAACATATTAATGTAATGTACTTAAGCCCCTTAGCTAATTCAAATCTTTTATAAAATAAGGGCTTATCAATTAGCCTGTCACTGGAATTGATATTGCAACACCAATTTTATGACAATATACATTGTAGCGTGTTTAAAAGAGAAGAAGCCTTGCCTTGAATTGATATTTTTTTATATTTGCCTATTCAACCGATGACATTATTAGCAAATACACTAAATGTCTTACTACTACTTCTAAGCTATAATTATAGCGTGCTCCCGTGTATTTAGAGGTAGTTTCAACTACAAAGTTTAAGGTGCTTTCATAATAATTATTCATATTAAATTTTCACATCTTTAGCGATTACGCACGCTGTAAAATGTGAGAGCACCTTAAATTATTGAGATCGTAAGCCTGTTTTGGACCATAAGCTAAACTTAAGTGACAAAGTACTTATAAAACAAAGCTATGTTCGTATGTTACGTACTAGTTTTGCTCTTGGCCCGTAATGGGCTTCGTACCTATCTCGAATACTAAAATCTCTAACATTTGTAGTTGAAACATTACTAAACAAGCTTACTTCACTAGTCAATAATTGAAACATAAGGTGCAGGTTTTATACAAGAGTTATAATTCAGTATTGTTCATTGAAACTATAGCATATGAGCTCAGGCCAAGATATATAGGCTTCATATTTGCTATCACTGTTACACTATAGTTTTCTATGTATGTAAAACAGTGATAGATATATGAATGTTTGTCTTGACCTATGTAGCAGATAAATCTTGCCTCTGGACTTCTTTATTATAAGATGTGCTAGTTCATTGTTATCGTGATAGGATTTTGGAACTTATAGTTGAAATATTTAGTATTGTGTAATTATGTTTCTATCTGAAAGTAGGTGTAACTTGATACTTTTAGTTTGTGGGTTAAACTATAGGCAAGTTTTTATCTTGGTAAAGTCACGTAGCTATGCGAATATATCGTCTATATGTAATTAGCAAATTTTTAATATGTACTTATGTATGTGTAATCGTGAATTTTATAGAATATTATATTATATTCCACTGTTAAGAGAAGTACCCAGGGCAATCTTACACTGACTGCAAGCTACTCGTACATCGGATTTAGTACAAAACACTGTTTATTGACGGTATTTATTGGCGGCGAAATGCCAAGTTTCCTTTCGCAGCAATAATAGGATAATTAATGTATAAACAATCTGTTAAGGTGCGGTCGACACGTTAGGCGGCGTTATTATACTTGTAAAGTATTATTATAAAGACACCAAGGCTTAATTATTCCTAATGTTTATTTTTAGTTCACTTGTTCTAAGGTGTCAATTTTCGTTCCAGGTTCAACACAAATGTTAGCATCTCGCTAATTAATAAGGTTTATATAAGCACGATATCACAAGAGAACCCTGGAACGATATTCTTTCTCTTTTTATTACTTATTTTTTTCTAAGTTGACAACGTCAGTTTTTTGCACAAACGAAATAGCAATAATGTTGAATAAAGACCTTTGTAGTGTTAATATTATTAATATTTGGTTGAAATCAATACTTTTTACTAACTTTTTTATTTACGGCTATACTGCTACAGCTTGTATAATCGTGAAAAGCGTTGAAGCAATTTAGACTTTATTTTAATAATTTAATAAAATTTTACAAAGGCCCATTCCAAAGATCTTTTCAAATGAAATATTTTATGTACTTATTTTTAACGAATCATCGTTTTGCTTCTACATTCTGTGAGTCGTGTTTTATGTGATATAATTGTGTATAATTATTGGAGATGTTTACATTAATATAGTACTTCCTATTATATCAATGTAAGTATTTGAATACAGTTAATATGCCAATAAAACGGTTTATTCTTTTATTTTTGTGTTTTATTCTTAGGTTATACCATATAAAAACCTTAATAACATTGTATTGGAATAATAAAGTAAATCGACCGAAGTGATACCACGGCCTCACAGAAAACCGACGCGAAACAATGCTTGCGTTGGGTTTCGTCGTGTAAATGAGGTTACCTTATGCCCAATTACCCCCCTAGTCTCCCGAATCCTCCACAATCCTCAAATTCCCAATTCCCAAAAGGCCGGTAACCGCACTTGTAACGCCTTGGTGTTTCGGGTGATTAGGACGGCGCCGATTGCTTACCATCAGGTGATCCGTCTGCTCGTTTACCGGCTTATGCAATAAAAAAATGTATTTTCGAAAAATACATTTTACTGCTATTTTTGTTCAAATATTTCTTGTTAGTAATGCCAGGGGGTAAGTTAGATATACAAAGATATTTACTTTCGTATAAATAAATGAAACATCAACTCGTACCGCAATACATGTCTTTATTTCATATTTAATAACTACTTCAGTCAAATAGGTAATATAATAGTTTTACATTTAGTGAATATTTACATGAACACCTATACAGTAGGTATATACAGGACGATACACATACGTCAATACATTTTAATCTCAATATTACAATAATATTAATTATGTTTACAATTTTACAATTATCTTGCGACATTTCGTTAAACCTATAAACTAATGAAATATTTCTCACATTTTTATGGCTATTTTCTTTACATGTCTAAAGCTCATTGCCAACAATATATTGCGAAGAGCTCAGAGAAAGTACCTTTGTTAAGCAGAAAATAATTATATCAACCAATAAATTAAACACCTTATGTTATCTAGAAAACATAAGATTGAAGATTTTCTAATTATTATTATTATTTTTGACTATACTGAAATAAAGGTCTTAATAATTTATTTATTAATAATTTTTATAATCATTATTATCCATAGACATAAAAATTATTTACCTTGTTTTTTAAATAAACCAATATCAGGAATATGTTGTTGGTCAAGAGATAGACTTACAATACCGCCCCTAGATACCATCAGTCACTTTGTCAAATCCCACCTCATTCATATAATAACGAACATCTATGATTACTACTATAAGAAACACTCAGTAAACACATTTAATATAATAAATCGACGGCAAAGTAAGGACAATAGTTGGTTCTAATTATGTTGTAGTTTAATACATCATCACGCTTTTTATTTCTTGGAAGATTAGGTAAAAGGGTAGTCGCCATTTCTTGCTTAGTTAGATTATGAAGTAGCTGTATTATATTTGTATTGTCAAACAACATAAGTAAATACATTAATAAGATACTCAATATGTGTAACATTTGTTTTATTTAAAATCAAGTTAACCCATTAAATGGTCAAAAGGATAATAAGTTGTCTTTAAATGTAAATGTGTTTATTTTATTTTTATTATAGAAATACAATGCTTCTACCCCGAATTATTAAATGTTCCCAAATTGGCACAGTGACCAAGAAAGGGTAAATGAAATTTGAAATATACTAGATTTTATTTGAGAACGGTGACTTTTGGTATGATCAAATGTTCTAATATTTATTCACCCCATTCTTGTCGTCATTTATTCTAAGTATATAGAGTTGTAGACGTAATATTAACACACTGTCTTTCAGGTAATAAAAATCGCGATGCAGTTGTTTCTGATGCTATTTTTCTTTTTTTAGATTCCCAACATCTATATTCAGGTATGATAAGTCAAAGTTTAGTTTTAATTAATTTTGTAGGCAACATAGTATTCGAATTATTTTACTACAATCATATTTTTTTTGATAATTTTACTTTATTTAAATACTAGATTAATTTATAAACATAGTATGCATATATTTACGAAGTAACATGTAGGTTACATTTTGAATCACAATAAGACCTGTACAGATGAATGAGTTTTTCTACTCACCCAAAAAATACATGCGTTCACAGAAATTAAATTTTTGCATGTCTAATTACTTAGTTTTTCCTAAATAGGTTCAATAAGAATTTAATTGTCACAAAATTTTTCCCTTTCGGCAAACTTTAGGGATCTGGAATAAGTGCTTTAAAATCTGATGACTTTTGCTGTATATGTAGGATAATAAATGCAGTCACGCGAGGTTGGTAATAACCTTGAATAGTAAGAATCTGTTTCTCGTCTATCTAAATGTTTACATATTTAGGTGCAGTCAGTAATAAATTATAGTATATCAATATAGTTATTATATACGATTATGTTCTTAATTATTAGGACATCAAAATCATTTTGCTTTCTTTTTATCCATGAAAAATTCTAGTAAACGCTAACATATACTACCACAAACTGTCAATGTGTGGAGCTGGAATTTAGACGATTTCTGGAGTCGGTTCTGATCCTGTAGAACCATCAGAATGAAAAGTAGCCTATGTTACTGCCAAAAAGGTTTTTAAATGGAAAAACATTCTTTAAATTGGTTTCCTTTTTGGACTAGTAAACCAATTTAAAAATTATATTGTTTGCGTTTGCGTTGAGTCTTCGGTGTTAAATCTTTATAATATTAGCATTAAGTAGTATAGATGATGAGGTTGATAATTGAACAAAATTGATAGATTTGTGGCAGTTTGATAAGCGTAGCGTAGTGTTTATGCATTACCAATATCATAGTAAAAACTAATGTTTATACGCACCGTCAAATTGATTATAATTATATCTTCCTTTGACCGCCGATACGTAATTGCAAAAGCAAATGATTGTCAACGATGTAATAAAGTAATGACGGTTTACTTTTGAATGCACTTGTGAGAGTAATGTTTGTATATTAACCAATACTAAGATTTATATCTTTCTGAATCCTTCAAGAACGGCTCAAAGATAATTACTTTTATTTAAGTTGCAATGTATATTTCTTAGTTCTATGCCTGATTAAAATCAATAAAATCACTCATGCTATCAAGCAAACCATCTGAACATGTCACTAAAGAATCAAATATAAAATATTATCATCATTATTGTCAACTAACTTAATCCTATGTATACAGGAACTTATTACAAACCTGTAATTGTATATTCAAATAAAATCATCTATGGCCATCGGTCAAAGGAAATACCATACAATTAATGGAACTGTTTCATAGCTAAAAAGCGAACACATGCCATACATAGTCACATGACCCCGTTTAGGGTAAGCTAAATTAATAGTTTCTATTTTCTACCGCATCCAGTTTACCTCTTAAGCGAAATCAGTCCTTAGTCCCTTGTGTTAGGTGATATATTCCTTTCTCTCTTGCTTTTGGTTTTTGGTTGGGCGCGATGGCGGTCCCTTTTGCGGCTGGATGAGGAGCAGGAGGATGAAGGGCTGGAGTCGGGAGGGGAGCCAGCCTCTTCAGCGGTGAGGCCCATAGTCTGCGACTCTGGGGTGGAAGGTTCTAGAACACTGTTGCGGAGAGCGCGCCGTTGTTCTTCTGTGTGTTGCGGGCAGCGTGTAGATCTGAAACATATATCAAAACTTTTTTAGTCGGCGAAGAGATTTCCAAAAGTATTTCTGCCACAGATGATAGATTCCTGGGGTTGAAACTAATTTACTTACAAATTACAAAAAAGAAAACTAGAAACATATATATTACTAGCTTTTACCCGCGGCTTTGCTCGCGACACAAAAGGATAAAAAGTAGCCTAAGTGACATATACAGATACACACAGCGCCATCTATACCAATACTTTTGTTTTCCCTCGGGAATATCAATTTTTCCGAGATAAAAAGTACCCTATTATTTAATCCGGACTTCTAACTATACATCTGCAAAAATTCAAAGCAATCGGTTTAGTAGTTATGGCGTGAAAGCGGAACAAACAAACAAACAAACTCACTTTACGATTTATAATATTAGTAAGGATAGTAATATATAACTGGGATATAACTGGGATAACTGTCACTGATATAGCAATATCGGATGATATTGCTATATCAGTGACAGTCCCTCTTAACAAGCCTCAAGGAAATGGATAAATTGAGCATCAATTAACACAATATGTGTTAAAGACGCGTTTAGAAGAGAGATCATATCGTACCTAGTGCATAATTTCTTAGTGTGCTCGGAAACGACGCCGCAGATTTGCTGCAGCAGATTCTTCTTCTCGTTGGCACTCATCGTTTCGTATGTGGCGCCGTCGTTCGAGTCCGAGTTCTGCGTCCCGTTGTTGTGCCTGCCGATATTATTATATACATTATAGGCACATAAACCTGTATATAAAGCCACCCCAATCTTTAACAGATTTTCAATTCATTCACAATAGGTATTGAGTTAGAAATCTATTGAGTTAAAAATTGGGGAAGCTTGCTTGAATACATAATGCAATTATGCTTGTGCATTGCGGATTTTGTATATGTGCAAAAATAGACCACTTGATGGTGTTGGCCTGCTGCTCCTAATGACGTCACTTTGGAAGCATTTGGAATGTATATAGTGTCCACATAATATAGACATGCAAATGATTACAAAATAACGTCCCTATATGCACAAACACACTTACCGAATACATGTAATATAATTAATTATATGTCTTGTATATTGTATTTTGAAAAAGCATGCAAGTGCTAGCTAGTTTGTATAATATAAAATGCGTATGTAAGTAAACTATATTTTGTTTTCTTCTTCTAAAAGCTGACTTTCGGAACATAAACGTACCATGAATACTGTAGCCAGCCAGGGCATTAGACGTTTGAAACAAACAACAGTTATGACTATTAGATTGAAATTATTATCAATTACTACCTTACTGAAGGTCTAAAACTAAGTTTAAAGTCTAATTATACCTACACCCTGTATAATTAAATAAAAATATATTTACTTTTATAAATACTTATTTGAATTGCCTCTCACAGAAAAGGAGTAGGAAATATCTAAAAATATATTCTAAAATAAAAGAATACAATCTTAAAGGTAACTAAGTATGGGTGGGTAATATCTACATACTTATGCACTTTATTAGGTTTCCTATTGTTGTTATTCTTAATCCTGCGTTTCCGTCGCTCATTCTGCATGGAGCCTCCGGACCAGTCAACATCATCTTCGTCATCACTCAGTAGTCCCGCGTAAGAGGTTGGCTCGCGGCTGTTTGAGGCGATACGACGGGAGGCTATGCGTGAACTGTTGCGGCCCATACCTAACAACAAGAATACAAAATCAAATGATGTATAGGTAGTTATGATAGTAATCATCTATACTAATATTATAAAGAGGAAAGATTTGTACCTATTTTTGTATGTTTGTAATGAATAGGCTCAAAAAGTACTGGGCCGATTTAAAAAATTCTTGCACCAATAGAATGCTACATTCTTCCAATTTGACATAGGCTACATTTCATTTTGAAAAAATTAGGGATTCTTGGTAACTTGGTAATTTGAACAATGTAACCGAAGGTGTAGAAAAATGAGTCGTAAAATGTCTTTCGTCGAATGCGCTGCCGAAACTATTTAATTAGCGATAGAACAAAATAATGTACAACAATATTGAAGAACATCATAATGTCTACAAAAAACTCCGCCGTAGCATATGTCCAACTATTGTAGTTATGTCACTACAACAGTCCAAATTTCCAAAAATAAATAATTGTCTACCCCGTGCGAAGCCGGGACGGGCTGCTAGTAGTTGGTATAAAGTAACTTCTGGCAGTGGCCTGCTCTCAATGAAAAGTAGCTTAGATATTATTCTAACTATAACTCTGTGTGTGTTCAAGTTTTAAAACTTCACTGCATGCATAACGCAACATTAGACATACTGTTGCTCAGCTATGAAACGAGCCTGCATACTTTTCAAAAGGATATCATAGTACTAGTATCATTTCCAATTTACTACTTGAGCTAAGGGCAATCATTTCAGATTCCATTCTACTACTGACAATTTTGATATGGCAAAGATTAAACTGTCAAACACCAAGCGGTCACCGGTGACCGCAACCTATTGTTCTATAATTGTGTCTATAATGACGGTACTCGACAAGTTAAATCTAAGATTTCATGTTCTATAGTTGCATTTACAACCACCAAATCAAAGCCGATTCATCATCAAATTATCTAATTTCTAGTTAATCTTAAATGGTTTTAATTTGTTTGCTTAGCATTTCAATGCAGCAGTTGTAGACAGCTTAGCAAAGGAGGTTTGGTCCAAATCTTAATGTAAGTTTGATTATAAAATAAATCAATATTTTGTAAAGGTAATGCATGATGAGATGCTATAATTTTCAAGTTACTATGCAGACTATACCACTTATGTTACATAACTATGCAGAAGTGACAATCTGTAATTGATAAAAAATTATCAAAATCATAACATTGACATTGATTCCACAAAAAGAAAGGATGAATAGAGGTTAAGTCTAAATAAATATGAAGAAGCATTAAAACATCAGTAGGAACCGGTTTTATGCAATTCATGAACATGTGTTATTTTTTTTTATACTCTGCATATAAAGGCAAGTGGTTTAGGAGAGAAAGAGGTAATATTATAAGACAAAGATGAGATGGGAATGGCAAAGTTCAAGATCCTACTATGTAATTTCAACTACAAATAATGGATGGGCAGTAGTTATCAAAACACAATTATTTACAATGATGCTGGGTTATTATTGTAAGATGACAAACAATAATATGAGGGAAATATAAGGAAGTTTATTAGATTACATTGTTATATGTGAGTCATAAAGATCATGTGTAACTTCAAGGTGATTTAGAGTAAACTTACCCATGCATTTTTCTAGATGAGGAGCAAATCTTGTAGCTGAAACAGGTCTCTCACAGTTTGGACAGGAACAGTTTGAATCAGGTGTTTTCTTCATCATTGAGAAACCAAAGACATCACATTCTGGTGTGCTCACTATTTTGTAAGGCTCCTCTTCTTCCTTCTCGCCTTCCATCAATTCAGTCAAACCAGTCTTCAGCCCATGGTGGAACTCAAAAGCAAATCCTAGGGTCACATCGTCGCATACAGCTTCGAAGATATAATTTGCTGCAGCTTCCGCATTATTTTCATTTTGCATTATCTCAAAAAACCTCACATTCAAATCGTGCATACTCAATTCACTTGTTATCGTATTCATTTTCATGTATTTCACTAATTTTGACGAAAAATAAAGCACTTCACAATAAATAATAATTCAGAAAAATTGGTGTTGTGATTGATTGATTACCTTTTCATTCATGGAAAGTGCTGTCCCTTTTTCTCATTTCCATAAATTAAGCCATCTCTTTCTTTTGCAGCATTAAAATGTCATTAAATAAGCTACAAAAATTGATGGAATATTTTAGCTTTTTGATTAATTTGTAATAACAAGAATTTATTAGTTTAATTTAAAAATATTAGCGCAAAATTACAACCAGAAGCACTGACTGACTAATTTATTATGTTAACATTTTATTAGTGTGGTCACATTTTTTACATTTATTCTGTCAGTTTTTCGATTTACAAATTACACCAATAATTGTTAATTTCAATATGAATCTATAAAATATAGAATTAAATAAGATTAATTGTAATAGCGATTTAATATTTTTATGACATACACACACTTTGCCGGTTGCGTTCCAGTTCCCCAAAATAACAACACCAAACAAGAGCAAGACGGCTACATATGTTTTACATTGCAAAGAAAGAGAAAGCATGTATCATCTGTCACTGACATTTTGTTTACTGCTTCGCGAGACACGCGGGAAAAGAAATGGAACTGAGAACTTATGATAATGAGGTGATAAGAATATTGTAAACAATCGACTGAACTGTTTGCTATGTAATTTGATAAGAATCAAATACATTCAGATGACGAGAATAATTTTTTAATATTAATTTCATTGCCCGTTTGTTCGGCCAGCTGAGTGGTGTTTTACCTAATAAGTTAATAAAATAAAATAAATATAAACCAAAAATGGTAAGTGTCGACCTACCTTCATAAAGAACCCTCATTATTTTTTAAATTAATATTTGAAACATTTTGTATTCTAGAAGTGTTCTAAAAATGTTTTTATAATAAATATTGTGAGACATACTAAATTAACTAAAATCGTGGGTTAGATACTAGTTTTAGCACAGTGGGTTACTCGCTCACTGTTCTAAAATTGTTTCAATTCCAAATTAATAGCGAAAACAACCTACCTACATATTATAACAAAAACATTTTCTTTCTCCACGTATGTATGTATGTTCGTGTTAAACTCAAAAAGTACTAAACATATTGTTTTATTTGTTAAGGATGATTATACCAAATTTTTTAACATTATACGTAATAAAAAGCATAGGATAGTGATGCAGTGCACAAATTAGGGTAGACCTTACAAAACATAATATATTTTTTAAAAGTTAATATGTAATTATGTTTTATTAATTTTATTTAGGTGAACTTCACTGCTCGTGGTCTAATGCCTCCAGTCTTCACTCCACTCAATGATGACCACACCATAAACTATGGAGTTATTCCCGCGTACGCCAAGTTCTTGGCTGATTCAGGGATCAAATCTGTTTTGGGTAAGGATTTCGATTATGTAGATACCTTTGCATGCAATGTTTGATATTGATTTTTAAAACTTCAACCAAATTGTGGAGATGGCATAATATTATATGATAATACCCACCTTCTATGGAATAAAGGAGGTCCATGGTCTAGGAGAGGACTGCCACCCGCTGTTCATTACGTTGTATGTACAGATTAAATAAAAAAACATTACCCTCCTTCTTTGGCAGTCGGGTAAAAAAATATAGATTGTCACTGTGCCTCTCTGCTCTGTTATGAATTTAAAAAAGGAACAAAAAAAATGTTATGGTTATAATTACATATTGTAGGTACCTATAACACTAAAACTTTTTGATTGTACAGTGGGTGGTACAACAGGCGAGCACATGTCCCTATCGGTAGCCGATAGGAAGAAAGTCGTTGATGCTTGGGTGGTAGCTGCCAAGACTACAGGCCTTCATATTCAGGTGCAAGCCGGTGGAGCACCCTTAGCTGATGTTACTGAACTGGTGAGTTAATAGAGTAATCATTTTGATGCTGAAAAAAAGTAAAATACGTAGTTTTTTGGGGAGTCAACGTTTTGTGCATTCTAGTGTTTATAGTTGCATCAATCATTGGCCATTGGTGTCACCATTATAGGTGTACCTATGTACCTCATGTTTATAATGTGTTGTCCTGTGTAATATTGTCTGTGTGGTGTAGGTACATAAAATGATAAATAAATAAAATAAATAAATAGGTATAGGTACTTTTCTTTAGTTGTAATATGGTTTCATAAGTTGGATCCACTCAATAAGTTTGGCGTCAATACTAAAAAAAAGATCGGACGTGTTTTCAAAACTCTGCAATTGTAATTTACGATTGGAAAGGATAAAAATTAAGTAAATAGGTACTCCACTAATACATACCTATTTATTATAAAAACGGAAATGGCCACTACAATTTATCAACAAATTTAGAGTAGATATCATCTAATTTATTATTCCGTTTACCTTACGATATTTAATTGCAGATATAACTAATTCCTACCTACTTATCTAGATAAAAATTACAATTACCCAAAGTGATTGATTGCTTCGCTGTGGTGGTCAAGCGGTCACTATCGCCACTACCGAGTAACGGATCTCAGATCCGCAAGTTGGGCAATGTGTTATTCACTCATAGTACCTATTTTCGGTTTTCACCCCTATCACACGGGATTGATGTCATAACTGGTGAAAAGTGGGTGTACACAATTTTTACTTGGTTTATTTATTGCAAAATGTATATACATAGTGGTATTATACTACTAGTACAGTACATCACCCTGTTAGAATTTATCTTATAAATAATAACTAAATAATCATCTAATATATTATGTATCTACTTATTCTATTCATTATTAACTTAATTACTCACTATAAACTTATTACTGTTAAAATTTCTTATCACTTATATACCTATATGATACAATTATATTTAGCCGGTAGACTAGGAATAAGATCATCTTATGTTAAGCAATCAGTACCCGCGCCGCCCATGGACACCCGAAATACCAGATTAGAGAATACCAGTGCGTTGCCAGCCTTTTAGGGATTAGAAATTAGACGATTTTTGGAGATTCGGAGGATTTTAGCGTAGGACGTCCATCCGCAAGGTGGGCAGATGACCTGATTAAGGTCGCAGGGAGCCGCTGGATGCAGGTCGCTTCCAACCGGCCTATCTGGAAGTCATTGGGGGAGGCCTATGTTCAGCAGTGGACGTCCTGTGGCTGCTATGATGATGGGGATTCGGGGATTAGGGAGATTGGGAAAAGGTAATTGGGTCATTGGTACCTATGTTATTATAGGTGTACCTATTATTTGGTGAAATGTGCAGAGGCCTTAGTACGAGTTTATTTTACGTTTAAAGTAATCGAAACGAAACCTCGTCTGGCGCTCTGATTGGTTGGTTCATTGGCGCCGGCCAATCACAACGCCGTACGCGTACTCGTTACGATTACTTTACGTAAAAGAAACTCGTACTAAGGACTCAGTAAACGGAAAGCCATTCAATATGTGCTCATAACTGACTATCTACTTCATAGAGGAACAAACGTATTAAGTAATTAATATTAAATTTCGTGTATTAAAAATTCATAAGCGTTAAAGTTTACATTACAAACTACACTGTCGGTCACTACATACTAAAATAAATTACGTAATTTTTATTTATATTTTGCAGTATGATAACTGATAACTTTTAAGTAACCAGCTGTATGATGTTACTGACCCTATGTACCCAATTGAAACCAATACAAAATAAAGATTTGAAAGGCACATTCACCCATATACCCTTCTACATTTTTAATAACCGAGCTTGTTCACACTATAGGGATGATGACAGGATATGAAAATTAAAAATCTAATTAGTCCGTCAGTTAGATAATGTAAAAATATTAGAAACGTATTATTATTTTGTTGTATAATAAAATAATACTTAAATAAAACGAATCAAAGTTTAGGAGTGGGGGCTTAAACGTCATTTCTACGTATAAAATGTACAAAGAAGTGACGTCACGCGACATTTCAAATTAATATATCGTCGTAAGTATTCGTTTCTGTAAAAAAATAAAAAAATACGTGTCTAAGGTTTTAAAATAATCTACCAGACGGACATTAAAATAAAAATTAGTCATCTACCCTATTCTAGGACTAGTCCTACCTTATTTCTCTAAGGTCAGAAATAAGGTCTATAATGCAGTGGGTTTGAGAGGACATAAATACATACTACACACACATACACACTACAGTGGGTGTAGTATACCTATTAAATTCTTACATAATGTCATTTGATAAATACTTATATTATCATGAAATATTGTTTTTGTAAATAATAGGCATGTACCTACTCTACGTTATCGTGCACTTGAGATAAATATGAATTATTTAAGTTGTTTAAATAATTTGTTCGTGATATTTCGAGTGGGTTCTCCCATGTCACATATGATGTTGATTTGACGTTGTGTTCGTAAGAATTAATTGAAAATGCATGTTAAGACTTGGTGATATTTGTTGCTTTGATCTGGTTGGAACTGCTAAAACATAAACTACTTAAAAATCTTACAATCGTTACTGCTTCATGCAAGTCCAATAAGATTCTCCAGATATAAGACTGACATAAAGACAAAAAGGAATTCCTTTGTGTCTGCAATAAAATCGATTGTGATTTGGGGAAATAAAACCTATGTAATACTGCACTGCCTCGTTGGCCGAGTGGTCGCAAGTGCGACTGCCGGGCAAGGGGTCTCGGGTTCGATTCCCGGGTCGTGCAAAGCACTACCGGGTTTTTTAAATTCTCAGTTATAGCACGGAGTCTGGAAATGTGCCCGGTATATGGCAATAGCCTCACCCCCTATTACATGGGACTCCTAACACAAAATAGTGAAAAGTGGGTGTTTCATTGTACAGTGGCATTAACCGAATATCGAATGTACCGATATGAGACACAATCGACAATACATTGTGTCTCGCGTGGATCCACGTTTAGACACAAGACGGGTTAAGTGCTGTAATGTGCACCTCTGCCTATCCCTTCGGGGATAAAAGGCGTGAAGTTATGCTATTATGTTATTTTGAGTTAATTACATCGTGTCCCACACAGCGTATTTTACAATATTTCGTAATTCTTCACATTCATTTTCTTCACAGCTCCAACAAGATCCGGTCACTATCCTCAGTCTCATTTTTTCCATATAGATAAAACACATCCACAAGTGTCTCATTACATTTTAACTCCAAACACGTCACACTTAAGTGCTATTTCCTTTGTTTTTCTTCCAGGCCCGCTACTGCCAAGATGTCGGAGCCGACTCCTTACTTACCCTTCCTGAGTTATACTTCAAGCCAGCCTCAGTTGATGATCTGGTGTTCTACGTGTCTCAAGTCGCTAAAGCCGCCCCCAAACTGCCAGTATT